TGCTTTACGGTCTCTGTCTCAAACTTTTGACCGACATTCGTAAAAAGTTCATCTAATGGTTTAGTTGTAGCAACTCTTGAATTTTCTTTTTCTATTGAAAGCATATTTTATCTAGAATAAAAATGTCGAAAGAAACAGCGTCTATGAGAGAAATACAACACAACCGACAACTCATTGTGCAAGCTCTAAATAAGAACACAACAAACTTTTCAAACTATTCTAAGATATCTGAGTCATTGAAAGAAGGAAACTTAAAACTGACGATAAACCCATTGACAGACGAGTTTCTGTTTCAAGACAGTAAGAACCATACTGTTTGTATAAATCCAACAAAAAGAACTTTAAACGAGAAACCTATAGATGAACTTCTTTTGAAAGCAGATATTGACAACAAAGCTGACAAAGAGTATGTTGACGATGAGTTAGCACGTGTGGCTAGTGCGTTAGTGAAGAAGGCAGATAAGGAATATGTGAATGAAAAGGATGAAAAAATTAAAGAAATGGTTGAATGGTACCATGAACGGACAACAAAGATTTTAGAAGGTAAAGCCAATACAGGGTGGGTTTCAGGATGTTTAGACCTTAAAGCTGACAAAACATATGTTAACGATGAGTTAAAGAAGAAAGCAGACTCGACATGGGTAGCTGGATATGTAGATGCAACAAAAGAGTATATTTTCACATGGACAGAAGGAACATACTCACAAAAATATCATAGACATAGCATCTCTGACGTAAATGAACTTGAAGAAAAGTTATATAAGAAAGCAGACAAAACAGAGCTTCAAACATTAAAGACAGAAATACTTCAAACACTATATCCTATAGGTTCTATTTACACGTCAATGAACTCTACCAGACCAGAAGTAGTACTTGGTTTTGGAACTTGGACTCAAATAGTCGACAGGTTTTTGTATTGTGCAAACTCTTCAAAGGAAACAGGTGGAAGTAAAACGATTTCAGGTGAAAACCTACCTGCACACAGTCATTACATAAATTTAACTACAGCTGAAGCAGGTTGGCATAAGCATAGATATTGGGATTGGACAGGAATGACAAAAGGTAAAGGATATGATGTTAAAGACGACGTTAAGTTTGCTATAAATTGTTACTGGGATGACACTCAGGGAGGAGGAAGCCATACACATCGCATTACAGGATATACAGAAACAACGGGACAGAGTAAAGACTACATGCCACCTTACATGACAGTTTACGCATGGTATAGAAATGCTTAGTCGTCATGTTCCACTTCTTTAGCATATTCGTCAGGAGTTGTCTTATATTTGTTAGGAACTGTCTTTGAAAGTATACCACCTTGAACTTTGACAAGTTTGAAACGAGGTCTGACAATAGTAGTTTTATCTTCTGCTTGCAGTCTGTACATTTTGCCATGTTTGCCTAAAACTTCATAATATTCTCTTGTATACTTTCTTCTATTTTTACGAACACGAATGTGAGTACCTGTCGAGTTCCCATTGTTGTCATAGTCAATAGTATTTTCATATGGGTCGCGTTTAGGTATTTCTATTTTTACTTTGTCACCTTTCTGAAGTTTGAAGCCTGGCATTCTTTCTTGTTTGTCTCTTTTGACTAAACTATTAAATATATAGTCTTTCTCTAAGTCAGGGTTGTTTTTCATTTCTTCAGGGGAATGGTTTCCCAAACCTTTTTGTTTACGGTTATTGTAAATATTTAAAACTTGTCTCATCTTTGCCATGGAGAAGTGTCTGTACTTGTCGTCATATGACATTTCATCTACCTCACCACCTTGTGGTTGGTTTAAGTCTCTTAAGATTTTTATACAACTGTCAATGACACCAAGAGCAGAATGGTTTTGGTCGACAATGAAATATTGGTTTACATTTTTTGAACGCAGATAGTTTTTAATATCGTCTGATTTGAAAGAACTTTCACAGTCAGATGTCAGTTTTGTTGGATGGTATTTGTCAACGAATATTGTCAAAGCAGTTTTCACATCTAAAATATTTTTGGACCATAATGGTATGGCTTCACAGTATCTTGTGTTTTGACCGACAAATATTAGCCAGTATGGTGGTCCATCTTCTCTATACCTCGGAATGTTTTCCAAGATATCCATAAACCAAGCATTTGGTGTTGAACTAAAGATTTTTACCATGAGTGCTTTCTTTGTTGCCTTAGAAACATAGGGGTCCTTGTTTGGATTCGTCATTTTTTACCCTATAAGAAATGGGTTTATTTGGCGCATTAGCAGGAGTTGCATCTAGATTTTTACCCGCAGTGGGAACACTAGCCAGAGGTGCATTTGGAATTGGAAGGAAGATTTTGAGTACATTAGGTATACTGAAAGAGAAAGCACAACCTATTATACAAACTGTACAGAAAGGTTGGGAGGTAGCACGAGATGCAACAAATCTTATTCCAAATCCTGAAACAAGAGGAAAAGTTCAAGGATGGATGGACAATGTTTCCAGACAAGCAGGAAACTATTATAACAAAGCAAATGACTACTATAACCAAGCAGGACACTATATGGACCAAGGTGAAAGATTCTTTAACAGAGGATATAACCATGCACAACAATGGGTAAACAATAACCAACCTCAACCACCTCAAACGTGGGGAATGTAAATTTTTTTACTGAGATGAAATGAACAATACAGCATTGAGACAAATGGGTTCAAGATGGATTTGTCGGCTTCCAGCAGTTACACAACCACGTGTTTGTCAAGTTCTTCCTATACCTCAAGAAGTTTTAGACCGACTTAAAAAACCTAAACAACCAGTTGAAAACAAACCAAACTAAAATTTTTTACTGAGATGAAATGACCGAAGAAGTTGAAACGGTAGATTTGACACCACAAACAAAAAGTTCAGAACCATTGTCAAAACCTGTCAAAGAACTTACCGATGAAGAGAAAAATTCAATAATAGAAAGTGCCAGGTCTGGAAATACAAACCCTAACTATAAAGTCACTTTTCATAGAAATGGAACGGCTAGTATCTCAAAAAAGAAACAGACTCTCACAAATAAAATATTGAAGTCTGAAGGAGCTTTCGAGACAACAGATGGGAAGGTATACTTCACCGACCAACAGTTCATTATAGAACATCTCATTGACTTAGAGTCGAAATATTCTAAACTTTACAACAAACACAAAAAGTTGAAAGGAAAACAAAAACAAATGGCATATGATATTTACGAAGATACTAACGACACAACCATACCTGCAAGTGAAGTAAAGTCAGAGGAACCGAAAAGTGACGAAAAACCGATAGAAGAAGAAAAACCAAAAACTGAAGATAAACCAAAACCAAAGTTTAGTTTCCAAACTAAACCAAGTCAACCTTCATTAGCTGGTATGGGTTGGCGTCAAAGACTTATGGCAGCCGGTGGTTACGTAAAGTAAAGAAAAAACATTTTTAAAACAGTATATTTTTTTATTTTTATAAAAATGCCTCTATATAGAATGGATAGAAAATCTGCTAGAATAAAAGCAGAGTTGCAAAGATATGGTTGGAGAGTTTCGAAGAATTTTAAATATAGGAAGGGAAGACCCATAAAAGTCTATGACAAATTATCTGGTCTTCGCTATGAGATGGACTTGGAAACAGCGCGCGCAAATTATCCAAACAGACTAGAGAGGTTAGAAGAAGAACGTCTTATGAACATGCCTTTCGATGTTAGTGAACCTCAAGTTGAAGGACACGACGGCTTTGCCAGATTTTACTGGAAACATGACGAACAATTGCATCCCTTGAGAAGGAAAAAAGGAAAAGGTGAAGACAAACATGCTCCCATGGAAAGAACAAGATATGCATATGAAAAGTATCGTGAAGTTAGAAGTCAAATTACATCTGGTCGAACCTTTACAGTAAACTTTGACGAAGGAAAGAACAAAGAAGGCTTCATGGGTGTACTTGCTGCAATTCAAGACGGAAATAAGAAAGGATACAATCTCAGACTAACCGTAACAGATTTAGATGGTCATATCTACTATGCACATGGCAATGTCACAACAGCCGCACAACTTCTTGACGCTTTCAAGACTACAAAGAGAGAACAAATGGTTGACTCCGACTCAGACATTTTGAATGCAATTGAAGGAATTGTAAGCGTGAAGTTCGAATGGTATCAACCTAACCCTCAAGCAGTCAGACAACATGCTGGATACTTCCCGTTCAGAAATAAGTCTGACATTGACTTGACAAGGTATGGAATTTACAATTCAATTGAAACAATTGTCAATGAACCTTGTATTCTTACATGTCTCAGGAACTCTGGTCTTGTTACAGAAGAGAAGATGAAGTACCTTGAGTCATGTGTGAAGACAAGGTACATTCTCAGAGGTCAATTGGCAAAAATTGCACCGTTGGCAAATGTCAATATCCGAGTCAACATACCGACTGAGAAAGGTTCTTCACATGACGACTATGTTGTTGAGTTCAATTTACCATGGTTGAAGATTGTACTTGTCCACAACCACTTCATGTTGAACGAAAGTCTTACACACCCATTCTTTGGTAAAAGTAAGTGCAACATTGTCAGAGCTGTAAACATTCTTTTCGAGAAAGGTTTGTTGGAACCAATTCCAGATGACAAGCTGACAGAAAGTTTTGTACCAAAAGACGAAACAAACTTTTCACTGTTAGCAAGACCAAAAGTTGTTCCAGACAAAGTTCTAGTACAAAAGAAGTACACAGTTCCAAAAGGAGTTGGATTGTTCGGATACCAACCTGAACCAGAAGAACTTCCAATGAGGTTGCAAGAACTTCAAGATGCTATAAACAAACTCCCATTGAGACATCCAATCGACGTCAAATTGTATTGGAGAGCATCTGAGTTAGGTCAGAAGGTTTTATATGAAACAGGTTGCTTCGACGATGTTTATGAGATAACAGGAGAAGTTTCTCAGAAGATAAGAGACTCACTTGAATTTCCACAAACTGGACCCATTGGATGCGACAAGTTCGACTCATACGAAAAAATATACTATGTCGACCTTAACGCTGCGTACATGAGGTTTGTCCAATATATTCCGACTGGAATTCCAAACGAAGATGGTGAGTTCTCGGGAAGGAACTATACAGTTGGAAAAGTCATACAACAACTGTATGATATTAGGAAAGCTTCAAACCCCAAACTTGCAATGACACTCAAATTGCTTATGAATTCGACATGGGGATATTCCATTAAGAAACCTCAAGAGATGAAGAGTAAACATTATGAGAAGGTCGACAACTTTGTTGAAAGGTTTTCTCCTTTTGTTTTGAAATACGAGTTCACCGAAGGTCAAAATGGCTTAGTAACCACAGTAAAACCTATTGTCGAACATTGGTCTTACCCTCAGTTCGCAAAGGCAGTCCTTGACAACTACAACAAATTTTTCTCAGAGGTTAAATCGAAAATTGTGGTATACTATGAGAACATTGATGCACTCATGACGAACGAGGAAGGGTATAACAAACTCATTGAAATGGGTTTAGTTGGTGAGAAAATGGGCTGTTTTAAGCTAGACAAGGTATTTTCCGAAGTTCATGTCCTCTCCAAGCGTAAGTACTGGGCCATACTTGAAGACGGCACAGAAATAAAACATTGCATGAAATAAAACATTGCATGAAGTAAAACATTGCATACCATTTTAAAACGTTTTTTAAAACCATATATTTTTACATATATTAAATGTTTCAGGTTGAAAAACAAAGAACAAAAGTAGCAGATACAAAACCGTTAGACTATATCTTTACAAACGCCGGTAGGACTATTTCAGATGAAGAAATTTCATCCCGTTCATACAGGTTTGACTATCCAATTCGTTGGCTTCAAAGTCCTTCAGATGCAAAGGCAATAGGATTTAGAAGAGTTTTGTTTTCAAATAGAACGAACGCTTTTATGTTCGCAGTATATTTTCATGGGCAGTATGAAGGTTCTGATGGTCTAATAGACAAATTTGACGAAATGAGAATCTTTACAGTTCGTTCAGACGAAAGTCTTGAGAAAACTCTAAATGACTTTCAAACTCAAATAAACAAATACTACTGGGAATTTCAAGAAAAATACGACTCTTTACTAAATGGAACATACTATCTGAAACTAGAATATGACAAGATGAACTCCACAGTTTCATTTCAAAGGATTGAAATTAACCCTCCAAGAAGTACACAGTTTTTATTTTGGGAAGTAGACAAACGTTCTTGGGCACAATTTCTTCGGTTACTAAACCAGAACGAACCATTGCCACCTGACGGTCCGTTTAAATTTATACGCCCACCAACAGATTTGACAGTTTATAGAAACGTGTTTGACCCTCAAAATGTTATGTGTCATGCAAGTTTCAGTTCAAGCAACAACAGTTTTCTTTGTATTGGTAAGGACTTTTATGACCTTACCTCTAAATTCTACGAACCACCTAGTAACAGTTTCTCTGACTTTCAAGTTTGGTTCACAACAAACGGTGTGCAGCATATTATTCCATTGTACTATGACTTTTATCTCGAATTGTCTTTCATATACGACTACGGAAAAGTGCTGAAAAAGTATTGAAAAATATATTTTAGGGTAGATGTTTTTTTAGGTGTGCCTATGTGCCTATGTGCCTCGGTCAAATGAACTTCTCTTAAAATTACTGACAACATGACATTTTGACAACATCGTAGAAAACACACAAAACTCTTGAATTTTATATAAAAAGCAACCCGCGGAATTCCGCGGGTTGGTATATTCTTCACAAAATGCTTGTTTTGAGGTCGAGCCACAAACGGATGTCCGACGGTTAAGCCACAAACGGATGTCCGACGGTTAAGCCACTCAAAAATATATTTTATTTTTATTGTACGTACTGAAATGACAGTCGAAGCAAAAACGTTCACGAACAAATCTAATGGCGAAACATTCACAAAAGGCACTTACAACGGTATTGAAGTCTTACGTAGAGACAAGGATGGTTATATAAATGCAACAAAGATATGTCAGCAGTTTGGGAAAGACTTTAGAAGGTTGTTGGAAAATAAGTCCTGGGAAGAGTATTTTAAGGCATTTTGTGAAGAATATACCAACCCGCGGAATTCCGCGGGTTGCTTTTTATATAAAATTCATGCAGGAATTCCCGATGAAATCAAACAGGTTAGAGGAACGTATGTAGACCCAAGACTCGTAAACTATATAGCAATGTGGGCTTCTCCAAAATATTGTATAGCAGTTGGAAAAATTCTGGACTCCATAGACAAGAAAGTTCATGAGAAATTAGATGAAGAAGAACTTGAAGATACAGCAGAGAATGCTAAACCTTTGTTCGAACAAGAAGTTAGAAAAATGCATGAAAAACAAATAGAACATGAACGTGAGATATGTTCTGGTTATAGAGATTCTCCATACGAACTAGACCAATGGGAACAAGAAGATTTAAAGAGAGAATTTAGAGAATATGAACTCGCTAAGATAGCATTAGAAGCTGCAGAAAAGAAGTTAAAAGTTTGGGGTCGTTTTGTACAAAAATATTGTGAGTAAATGAACCATTTTTTTCGACAAAAATATATTTTAGGGTAGAAGGGTATATCTACCCCGTTTTCTACCCTCTTTTCTACCCTCGTAGAAAACACACAAAACTCGTTCATTTTGTGCTGAAATAAAATAAAGGTAGTCCCACCAAAAAATATTTTTTTATTTTTATTGTAAGAACATGTCAGCAACAACAGCACCAAACTCGTTAGTCATGAACCCAACTTCTATGTTAGTAGAGATGAAAAGCTTCATTCCTTCTTCATATACTTTCGAAACAGAAATCCAGAAGATAAAGCAAGAACTTCTCCAAGGAGATCTAAACTGTAGTGCGAAAGATGAAACAAATGAACAGTATCTTTATGAAATGCAGGATATTATTGACCATCTACCTAAACTTCCTGAAATACAACAACAAAAGCTCACTATTCCAGAATTCGATGAAATAGAAGTGAAACCATCTGACTCAGTTGAAATAAAGAAGTTCATACGTAATGTAAACTATGAGTTTCTTGGATTTCATTACAACCACAAAGACTGCGATATGGTATATTTCATTGACATATATAAATCTGAAGAATTTAAGACCTACGACAACTTTGTTTCGTTAGTTGCTGAGTGTGTCTTGCAGATAAGAGATAAAGATAGAAGAGGTAAGGTATGGAACCAACAGATAAAACCAGCAGCCTTTGAGTTAAAGAAGACCATCTACGCCTTACTTGTTTTAGCAGGACAAATTTCAGAATATAACGCAAAAATGAACTCACAATGTTCAAAATGTAAAGCAGCAACAAGGAAATATAACTACTCCGTCAAAGAGATAGAAAGAATGAGAAAAGACCATACTGACTTAAAGAAAGAAGTAGAGAAACCAGCAGAAGATAAAATGGACATGTTGACATTTCTGAACAAAAACTATCCAACTGCTAACGATTTCCTTCTTTCAGATGTCAAGAAGAAATATAAAGAAACCTTCGGCATAGTTAAAATTTTTGATATCCTTCGTGAAGAAATAGAAGCTACAAAACTGTTTAAAGTCATGAACCATCACAACATATACCATGTAAAACGCTTGTAAATAGTTATGGTAGAAATGAGGGTAGAAAACGGGGTAGATATACCCTTCTACCCTAAAATATATTTTTATTGAATTCTGTATAAAATTCTGAGTAAAATGACATATGGAACACATACTTTTTCAGTAAGGACATATGGGGTAGAAATGAGGGTAGAAAACGGGGTAGATATACCCTTCTACCCTAAAATATATTTTTGTCTGATTTACGCTCATTACGAAGAAGTCTTGACAAAACATTTACGAAGAAGTATATTTCCTGTGTTGTTGTCAAAATGTCATGTTGTCACACTTTTTCAGAGAAGTTCATTTAACCGAGTGACCTGGTCGCCTAAAATATATTTTATTGAATTCTGAGTAAAATGACCAAATTTCATGAATTTCCTTAAGATAGAAAATAAAAGCTAGTTTTTTTAAAATATTTTTTTTTATTTTGTATGTAAGAACAGGAAATGTCAAACACTGAGTTTGAAACAGTTAGAAAGATAGACAATGACACCAAAGTGGTTAGAATAGGTGATTTAAACGTAAGATACTCAAAGAAATACAACAAATATTCTTTGTCAGACATTTTATCTCCATTTGGAAAAAAAACAAACCACTGGGTTAAAATTGCTTCTACTCAGAAAATTTTGACAAGAAATCCTGAGCTTATGATATCGGTAAGATTTCATGGAACTACAGCATATCTTATAGACAAAAGTCTTATACCAGTAGTTTTGTTCTGGATTGACCCAGTTGTTGGATATAATTTCATAACATATGGTTCATTCGATACTGAACGTTGCAGTGAAGGCTTACTTTATATCGTTCAGAAACCGAAGGACTTCAATACAAAGAGATATAAGATAGGAAGAACATTTAATATAACTAAAAGATATGACAGTACAGTCAATAGAGTTAAGGTTGTGTTTGTAAATGATATGAGAGCTGCTGAAACAGAACTGCTTGAAGTTTTTGAGAAAATGTATGGTGCTCCCACGAAAGGTAAAGAAACGTTTGAAGTAGATGAGATAGATAGTGCTATAAAATTATTTGACGAAGTTGCTGAAAAATACATGTAAAGCGTTTATTTTTGGTCTTTTGTGAAAGTCAGAAAAAATAACGCTAATTTTATTTTTTTTTATTTTTTTATCCGGAATATAAAGACAGATATGTCAACAACAGAGAACACAACAACTGCTATCGTTCATGAAGCTATAAATGAAGAATATGAGTGGGTTCAGTTTAACAAACAACTCCGTCTCATTCGTTCGGTCAAAGACGATATGTACCAAATGCAAAGTATTTTGACAGCATGTTTTGCTCCAGACACTAAGCTTCCTAAAGACTGGTTTAGGAACCAAAGCACACAAGAACTTTTGAGCGAAGCACAGCGAGACATACTTTTTTCTGAAAACAGTGAAGAACAGCGAGTGGGAGGGAAACCCCAGTCGCCAAAACTCTATGAAAATCGTGAAAAATTGCCAAACGGTTTGAGAGGATATTATGTACATAGACTTCTTGTAAATGCTGTTGCAATGTGGGCTTCACCTCGTTATGCTTGGAATATTTACAGACTTCTTGACGAAATTCATAGACAAGAACGTGAAGAGCTAGAGAACAAGCTTGAAGCAAAAGACAAAAGCCTTCAGAAAAGAATACCACGTTCGGTACCAAAAGGAAAGGAAAAGAACTATAAGTATATGATTTACACTGAAGAGATGGAAAATGAAGAAGACAGAGATATGGTTATGTTGCATTTAGTCAGAAGAAACAACAAAAGCTTTTACGACCTTGCTAAGATTTACAAATCTGACAGAAATTGGTTCTATCGCGAAAACTTACCGATTTCAATGACCCCAAATGAAGATGTGAAACAAATAGTTCAAGATACGTTACCTCAAACACACTATGATATTAAAGGTTGTACAATACTTACCTTCAAAGAAGATTTGCCATTGTTAAAGGAAAAAATAACAGAGTATTTTGACAACTTCAAACAAGTAGAGTAGATGAACCATTTATTTTTACGCTTGACTTCAGATGGCTCAGGTAGCTCTATAAGGTCAATTGTCTTGTCCGAGTCCTTCTGGCATTCCGAGTCCTTCCATCCGACAAGAAAAGTCCTTCCTTCCGACAGGAAAAAGTTCTTCCCGACAACTGGAAAAAAATTTCCCGACAACTGGAAAAAAATTTCCCGACAACTGGAAAAAAATTTCCCGACGACAGGAAAAAAATTTCCAGTTGTCCGTCCGTAAACCATTCAAATTTTCGAAAATTGAGAACTTTTTTCCATCCGACAGGAAAATTTTTTCCATCCGACAGGAAAATTTTTTCCATCCGACAGGAAAATTTTTTCCATCCAACAGGACACAAACGGATGACTGACGTTCCTCTTCCTGAATGTCTTCCAAAGCCAGAAGAACCGACAGCCCCAGCACCACAACAGACTTACTAAGACTAAACACTTACATTTTTCAAGCTTGACTTTTTACAATTTGAACTTTGTTCGCGTAGATGTGAATTCTGAAAGAAGTATGAGGGTCTTGTATGACTTTGTACTTCTCCCAGAGTTCATGTCTGTCAAACTTACCTGCCATGGACTCTTTCATAAGTTCCATGAAATCGTCTTCGGACAATCCAGGGAAAAGTATGATATCAGTAAGTATTCTTTTAACATCCTTACTTAAACTCTTTGCTGTCTGTACACAAATGACAACTGAGATGTTAAAGTGTCTGAGCTTCTTAAGAATTCGACACATATCTTGTTCTCTATTCTTTAACAAAGGATGAGAAGCAAAGTCATCTAAGATAAGAAGACATCTATGAGGGTATGTCTTCCAATCGTAAGATTGCAATTTCTTCGAAATGTATTCTATCTCTTTCTGTTTGTTTCGGAAGTGTTTCTTCTCTAATATTCTCTGCATTTCCTCATTTGGGTCTTTAAACTTCGAGTTTATATACTCATTTATAGCATTGTACTTCAAAACTCTTCTTTGGTACTTCTTTATCCAATCTAACAACTCAGAGTCTTTTATACATACTAACTTAGACTTTTTTATAATATCTTTGAACGAATTGACGGTTTGGTCAAATTGACCAGAAGTACTACAAATAACAACTAACTCATAGAATGGGTTCTTCTCATCTAGTTCTTGTTGTTGTGCAGCCATTTTAAGATAAGTGAAAGTCTTACCCGACCCAGGTGGTGCGATTAGACCTGTTATACCATTCTGAGCAAATAGGAACTTGTCATGTATGGGTTTTATCTGAGCATTTTCTAACTTCCTCTTGTTCTTGTTTAAAACATTCTCAAATTTCTTGTCAATGTCAGCAAACTTTTTTTCTAACATATTTTTAGAAAAATTAAAATTTTTATCTTTTTGAAAATGTCTAGCGATTTCGCTATCTATATTCGAGACAAACTTTTTGACAGCAAAACATCTGTCGACCATAAAATCTTACATAGTGTAAACAAGAAAGGTGAATTTGTTCTAAAGTTCTGTTTCTGGGAATATGACAAGAACCATAAAACATTAAGCAGAGAAGTCTTAAAATTTGTCAATGACAGACTTGTTGACAGAGATGACGCCGATTGGAAAGCTGAAGTCCAACAAAAGTTCTTAGAATGCAAAGAAGACACATGCGCTGTTCTTGAAGATGAAATAGAAAACAGAATAGAAGAGCTATTAAAGGACAAAGACCTTTTACAAAAATATGGTTCTGAGAAGTTTGACATAACTCCACCAGAGAAGAAGAAGAAGAGAGAAAGAAAGAAAAGAAAGTAGAAGAAGAGAAGAAAGAACCTGAACCAGAGAAAAAGAAATTTGACATGTAAAAATAAAATTTTATTTTTAGAACATTTCTGGGTCAATGTCAATGTTCTCTTCCTCTTTAGGAGCAAACACTGGTTTAGACTCTAAAATCTTTTTACCCAATTTACCTTGAACTTCAACTATCTTAGACTCATAATATTCATAGTCGTCTGCTTTCTTTGGTTCATAAGGTATAACAAGTTTGTATGCTTTGCCTTCTTTAAGGTTTGAGAACCTTCTGTCAAAATTTTCTTTGACTGCTAACAAACCTTCTATGTCTAAGTCTTCAAATTTCGCACCATTTTTAGTCACAATAGCAAACTTAACTGGTTCGATGTTCCAAACTTTGTCAAATGTAGACTTTTCAAAATGGTAGAAGTAAACATTCAAATATGCGAATGGGTCTAGTTCTTCTTTGACTTCTGTCATGTACTTGTTTACTGAGATGAATTTTGCCATCTTTTCTATCGGATAAAAAAATATTTTTTTAAAATTTACTCAGAAAAATTTTTCTTTGTATATACGCCGTTCTGAACATCTAAAAGATTTTTGACATTTGCCAAGAATGTTCGTTTAGACGCTGTCATATAACCATACTCTTGGCAATATTGTTTATATTCATCGTACAATGACCTTTCATCCAAACACTCAAAGTTAGTCTCATCTATAAACAGTTCATAAACACTCTTGTTTTGCTTCTAACAATGTTTGTCTTTCTTCGGTATATGGAATTTGTCTTGGATTGAACTTAGAAATATCTAATGTCATAAAATATGAGAACAAGTGGTTGTAAAAGTCAGATGTCAAAGTTTCTGACAAAGCGTCAAAATATTCTGTATCTTGCATATGAGAATCTGACGTTCTGACAACTACATATCTTCTGTCAGAACTTTCTAACTTCATCGGAACGGCGTTGTTTGAAACCATAATGAAATTTGCAACATTTTCACAAACTCTTTGGTCTTTATATTTTCTTTCAACAACTCCAACTTTGTCTGTTATAAGACTCTTCAAAGCATCTGAGTTTAAAACCTTTGTTGTATCTATACTTTGAAGTTCGTTACATACTATAAGTTTCATATTCTCTATTGAGGAGTTAAATTTACCGCAGATGTTTTCTAAGTTTGTCATATTCGGGTTCGAATAGCCCTCTAACAGTTTGCACAAAATATCTGTAAAGAAAGTGTTCTTACCTGTTCCTTGTTTTCCAATTATAATGAGAGCCGTTTCATTTTTAGCACTTGGATGTTGTAAGATGTTTGCAAACCAACATAAGATATACTCATAAACCTTTTCGTTTCCATTGCATATAATTTCTTTGACATGGTCTAACCAAGCTTCTATAATATTTTCTTTCCATTCTACTTGTTCATATTTATATCCAGTGAAGATAGAATAGAAGTTTGGAGAAGGTGTATAAAACTTTATACCACGAACTGAAAAATCTTCAAGTTTTGACAATAAGATATCCCAAGCATCTAACATCTTCATGCCAACTTGTACAACTTTTATTTTCTTAAGTTTCTGTTTACATTCTTGTTCTGAAACTATGGTTGCTCTTGGTTTGTTAAAGACAACATCCCATTCTTTCATAACATAACATTCTGGGGCAGAGTCGACATAAATGACTAAACGTTTCAAATTCTCGACTGCTTTGTTATAGTCTCTAAATGGACACATATTTCTGAAGGCTTGGAAGTCATAAAAATCTGAAACATCTATTCTGTACATTTTTATAAAAAATAAAAAAAAATATTTTTTTATTCTTGACTTTGTTGTTGCATTTGTTCCATTTGTTCCATTTGTTGTTCTTGAGCTATTTGTTGTTGAAGTTGTTCTTGTAATACAATACTTTCACCGGTTGCATCTTCCAATTCGAAACTTTCTGCCGTCATTGACAAATACATAGGACATAAAAGTTTTACAGGAACAAAGTTTGCGTCAACTAAGGTTAAGTTTATGTTTGCTAAAGTGTTTGAGTTCACTAAAGCTGAAAACTCTGCATTCGAATGAACAATAGGCAAACCAGCAGAGAAAGTGTTGTTTATACGCATGAGTATCTTTTGGTCATAGTAGTTTCTGTCGACATTCGAATAGCACTTTGAACCTAAGTTTGAAACAATATATAAAATAGGTGTACTTAAAGTCAATGGAACAGACATTCCTTGTATGACACCTTTTCCTGTTATAGGAAACTGTTGGTAGTAAAAACCAGATATAAGTTTTGTATTATAGCTCATATCGTTTATACTAAACTCAGTCGGACATCCAAACATAATGAAACCTGCTCTAGTTGCAGCACATGTTACATCCGTCCTTAAAGTATTAAATAAGTCAACAAAACCTGTTGGTGGTATATCTGAGTAAGTATCTTCAAAGAAGTATTTTTTACCATTCACAACAACAAAGTCTTCTGGTGTCAAAAGAGCAAAACAGGCTTTAGTCGTCATCGTGTTTAAAGTTAGTTTACAATATCGTCCTTGAGGACTTTGTAAGTTTGTTGTTATAGAATTATATGACTCAGGGTTTTTTAGTCGTAATAGTATAACCACTATGTCTTCTGCCATTTACTTAGCAAGTAAATTTTTAATGAAATGTTGTGGTCGTCAAATATTTTTATGACGTCTGGGAAACTATATTTTAAGTTCAACGTTTCACCTCCTTTCATAACGTATATCTTGTCAATGACATTATATGAAACACCACAGCAAGCAATGTCGGGTTCTATTTCTTTGATGTTTATATCGTCTGCCTCTGTCAAAAGTTTCAATAGTTCTTTCAAGACTTCATGAGGTGCAATGACATATGAGTTCACTTTTACAGGGTTGTGTTCGACAAGTTTAACATTATACTTAAAGCTTGACAAATCTTCTCCTGAGTTTGAAGTTTTCTTTCAGTTGTTGGTAGTCGTTTCGAATATCTGCAACAGAACTTAAGTCTCTGCTAACTTCAGGATATGTTGGTTGTGTTCTTTTACAGGAACTATTGTTATACCATCTTCGTCTTCGTATGGTTTCCCCACTTCACATCTCTTTCTTTGACATTGACAAAACACTTTGACTGTTTGTTTGAGTTGGTGAATTTAACTTCACATCTGCCATCGCCATTAAACCTTTTGAAACACTTACGCTTCTATTTTTCGGAAATGACATTTTACTTAGAATAAAAGATGGACGTATTTGAGTATCTCTTCGAATTGAAGCAAAACAAAGTTTACACACACAAACAATACAAGTTCATTGACAGAGTAGTTCTTTACACAAACAATGGAAAATGTTATAGAATAGCAGTCTTTGCTGAACCAAATATTTTCATAAAGCAAAGAAAGTTGGTATAACCGAGATGGTGAAAGTTCTTGAAGCAGACAAAAATATAACAACAAAACTGACCGATATTTCTAAAGGTAAGTTTATAATACAATATTATATCAAAACTGGCGTACTGTCAATATTTGACGGAGAGAATCAGTTCAAGAACAACTTACTGACCTGCTGCCAAAATCTGCTCTATGGAAGCTGTCGTTATGCCAATCTGAGGAGCCCAGCAGGTTTCATCGAACGAATCTTCAAAAGAGCATCTTCTGTGAAAAGTGCTATTGGTTTTGTAAACTTCTTTGCTCTCAGTTCATCTGGACCGTCTCTGTACCAGTATATTGTATTTGAACTGTACCAAAGTTGAAATACCACCATAAAGTCTTCTGAGTCAGCAAATGGAATGCCAAGCCAAAAGTTTGAACGGTCTCCATTTGTATATTGAGTTTTTTGACCTCCTGTATGAGTCCATACTTTCACATATGGCATAATAGAACTTTGCATTTCAGGGTTAATGTTTGTTGTGAAGTTGTTGTTAAAGTTCATAGCATCTAATGTCAAGTTGTATGACCTCATATCCTCAACTGTAGAATATTCTTCTCTTGGATAGTATTTGCCATCTATGTTTATATGGTATTTAATACCAGGGTTGTAGAAGCAAGAATAGTCATTTTATAGTTCGTCTGAACAGTACAAACATAGTATCTGCATGTTTCATTGCAGTTGTTAAAGCAATATCTGTTCTTGCACCTGGGTCAGCACTTTGGTTTCCAACTTCACCTGCAAAGTCTTTGACAGATATTTGGTGTATAGGGACAAATAAGCGGAACTGCAATATATTTGGCAGCTAAAGCATTTTGAAATATTGGGTCCAACATATAGACTGCAAGTCTGCTTTCTATTCTCTTGCATTCAAACTTTTCGCATGTGAACTTAACTGGGTCCAAGCATCTCCAGCAGCATTGAAATAATAGTTTACTTCAGTGTTGAGGTTTGAGAAACCAAAGTCTAAGTCAACTTTGTTTTTGCAAAAGTCGGCGAATGACATTTTATTTGTTCCCACTACTTCTGTAAGAGTGAATGGGTCTTGTGTTGGTGCAATGACTAAGTTATTTTTGCTTGGAGTAAGTTCGATAGAAATTTTTCCTGCCCAGTTTGGCAAGTATCTTAAAAACCTGAAGATGAGGAAAGATGACAAAGGAACTCTAAGTTTCAGTTTTACTTTGGTTACTGCTGCTGCAGTTTGTCCAGAAAGGTTAACATAAACTCCTGGAACGTTAGGGTCAAGTCTTCTTTTTTTCTCAATAGTTGCATACTGGTCTGTTTGTTCTCTAGCTTGTGGTTGTACTGAGTTTCTCAAGCGAACCATTCATAGTTTGCCCATGTTACTGTTTGAACTAAGTCAGAGTTAGAATATATCTTATATCCCATGAAAAACTTCTGGAGCATATTGGTATCCGACATAGAAAATTCCATTGCAACCTTTCTTGTCAGACAACTTGGCAGAAGGTTTTATTTCAATGTCTTTGTTCCACGTATAAGAATGAGTTGTCAATAGAAATAATATGAAACCTGTCGCAAGCAATATCTACTGTTGTTGAAGAACCTTCTCCAAATCACCTACATTTCCATAAAAACAGCAGTTGTATATTCGTAAGTCCAGGAACTATTTCTGACCTTCTAATGGCATTGTCGCATTCGTTATACCATTCGGAAACATTTCCATTCATAGCATCCAAAACTGTTGGCGTTATATTCTGAGCGGCGTACATTTCATATGAGTAAATATAGAATAGTTGGATTTATATGTCATAATAGAACCCACGTGGACCAAGCTTTACTTTCTTCTCTGACTGAGTTTTTAACTCTTCTTTTTCCTTCATTGCCTCTGCTTGAAGTTGTTGCATCTTTGCATTATGTTCATCTAGTATGTTGCAAATTTCCCATGTCTTTTTGCCTTTTGGCTCTGGTCGCCCATCTCAGGTAACCTATATCCTAGAAAGAGTTTGTCATAGTCTGTATTTGAGTCTTCGTATTGTTTGCATGACTCTTTCCTGAGTTTCCGGTTCAAGCTCTTCAAACAGTGCCTGTCCATATGGAATATGCTCGTTTCCAAAATATATGTTTTTGTAGCCATTCTGGTTTTCTTTCCATGTTACCAACTATATCTTTTGTGAATGGGAAAGCTTTTACCCAATCTTTCAGTCTTGCGTCGTTTATTTCTGTAGTTGGTTTTATTTTGTCAAGGAACATGTTTTTCAATACTAACATTTCATTTGGTACTGTCCATTTGAGTTTCTTAAATATTCATCCTTCTCGGTTCATTGTCTGCAAAGTAAGTTTTTATGACATTTTGCAAACTTTCGTTTGCAAGGTCATGTACAATAGGTTCTCTTCCTTCTATTCTAACTTTCTTTCTAAACTCTTCACCAAATATACCATCTCTATGGTTCTGTGTAGTTCTTTGAGATAAATGTTCTAGAACGTCAGGTGTTATATTTCCATCAGCCATGTTCATTTCATACTGGTCCAAAATATCTGCATGTTTCATATCTTTCAATGGCATTAAAGCGCGCTTAAAATACCAGCTATATCTCGTTCACCATTGACTTCCATTGCGTCTACAACTTCTTGGAATTGTGGTTGTAAGTTTATGAACCACTATCTGGATTAGCTTTATGACCCATCTCATTGTAGTTCCATCGTCTGCAGAAACAAAAGTAGGTTTGTTTCCATCTTGGTTAGGTTCTGAATGAACTTTAAACAATGTTTCATTTCTATATGTTTTCTTGAAATTTAACCTTTTATTTTCACCGAGTTCATCCGAAGATTGAACGTTAAATGCTCGTAAGTAAAAAGGGTTGTTGTATTTGTGTACATTTTTTTTCAGTTTCTTCCATTCTATGCTGGATATTTTCATCTGGTGCTTGGAGTCTTTTGTATGTCGGCAAACATTTTCGATATTCTTTCTACTATGTCAGCCGAATTTTTTTTAGACTCTTGGAAATATTCCATATTCTCCGCATACTCTTGTTGAGGGTCAAGATTTTTCGGCTGTTCCAAATCTTCATCTAGTTCTGTGAAGTTAGTTTCCAAAGGAAGGACTTGTTCGTTTCCTTCAGGCTCTCTAGCTGTTGTTGCTGAACTATTTCTTCCATGTCTGGTTGTATCTGAAACTTTTCCTGTGGAGTTTCTGTACCTCATCTGCTGGCATTTCATATATTCCGAGACCGTTTTCAACAATTTCCCTATCTACGTCATCCGCATTCATAAGCTTTTGTTCTTTCGTTCCGTCTCTATTTTTTTACGCGTTTCATGACGAAAGTTGAATTGTCATTTAGCTCTGACATCAAATATCTCGGAGTAAATTCATCCATGTCATTTGGATGATTGCTATTAAATCATATCCCTTAGCGAGCTTGTATTTTCCAGGTTTGAGATTATATCCGTTTTGGTGTGAGCCATAAAGATAAAATAGGTTGGGTCAGTATTTCCTCCTTGAACTTTCTAATAGCTTCTTTATATCTGTCACTAAAGTCAACAGTATCTGGAAACCACACTTCTTTAAGCATTTTAAGAATTCTTTGGTTTCCTTGTTCTCTACTTCTTTTATGTCCTTGCTCTGTTTGTGGTTGTTTTGTGCAGGTTTTGAACTGTTGGTTGCTGTGCTGGTTGTTGTGTTGGTTGTTGTGCTGGTTGTTGTGTTGGTTGTGTGTTGGTTGTTGTGTTGGTTTTGGTGCATGCCTGTGTCTGTGTCCATGTGACGATGTAAATGTTCTAGGTAGTCCTGGTGCAGGTGCTTCTCTTGGAGGGTTTGGTGGTATATAAGTTCCCCAGCTGGCACATATGTTCCATCTGCAGCATAATGTCCTACCTGACTTTTTCGTTCTTAAGAAAGCATTTACTAGGTTGTTTTTGGTCTGTTGTAACTCTTTTTCTTGACTTTCCACAACAGTTGCTCTAACGGCGTATAGGCACTTTGAACTGCTGTCTCGTTGCTGCATCTGTTATTTTCGTATATTTTGTGCTACTTCTTTTAACTCTTTGTCGAAACCTTCAGACTTCAGTTTCTTTCCAGATGAGAAGTCGTTCACTTGTTTCACCTTACTGAAGAGCTTTCGAAGGCGTTCTTAAAGTCAGCATTTGTTAAAGCTTCATTTGAACTGTCTTCATCCGCTTGTATTTTTGTCCTTATTGACCCTATAAGCTGGGCTGCTTTAGCGTTGGCTTGGGCATCTAACCAGTCATTGTTAGCTTTTATATATTCTGCGCTTTTCATTGCCTTTTGCATGGCTGCGTCGTTATTTTTACTTTCTTGTGCTAAGTTTTCATACTGTACGGTTTGGTTTTGCAACTGTAAAAGTTTTTCTGCCTTTACATTTGCTTCAACTTCTTTTTTATACTCATCGCTATCCATATATGTCTTCAGGGCTTTTTGTTTTATCTCTTCATCTTTCAGTATTTATATTGAGTAGTATGGTTTTTCAAATTTATGACATCTTGTTCCATTTTTGCTACTTCTGCTGCTTTTTCTGACACTTTTTTCGCATATTCCTCTGTACTTAGTTCTTTCAGTTGTTCTTCTTTCTTCTTTTTCTCTACGTTTAACTCATTGAGTTTCTTTGTGTGTCTGTCATATTCTAGTTTCTTTTCGTTTTCACTATTTGCTTCTGTATGTCTATGTTTGACTTTTTGACATCTGTTATTTGATTTTTGAGTGAACTCAAATTCATTTGACTTTGAGGGTTATAGGCTGTTCCGTCTGCAGCTCCACCATAGCCTGCCATTTTCGCTAAAAGTGCCGCTCTTAAACCTCCACTCTGTGCACCAACAACTCGGTTTAAAAGCATAGGATTGCTTGACATTTGTTGCAACATAGTGGGGTCATTCAGCATTTGTTGTTGCAACTGTTGTTGTGGTGTCAGTTTTACTATTGGATGTTTCAATGCTCTCTTCCTCTTACGTATATTCTTACGTAGCTTACGTGGCATTTTAAGTGAAGTTAAAAAGCGGTTTTTGACAGATGTTTTATTGTGACTTCTTCGTAAAGACTTTGTTGAGATTTCTTCGTAAATGAGTGTAAATGACCCAAAAATATATTTTAGGGTAGAAGGGTATATCTACCCCGTTTTCTACCCTCTTTTCTACCCTCTTGAATTTTCATGAATTTCTTCGTAAAGACTTTGTCAAGACTTCTTCGTAAAGACTTTGTTAAGACTTCTTCGTAAAGACTTTGTTGAGACTTCTTCGTAAAGACTTTGTTGAGACTTCTTCGTAAAGACTTTGTTGAGACTTCTTCGTAAAGACTTTTGTCAAGACTTCATCGTAAAGACTTTGTTGAGATTTCTTCGTAAATGACCCTAGTAGTATATTTTTGGTGTAAATTTCATGAAAATTCAAGAGGGTAGAAAGAGGGTAGAAAACGGGGTAGATATACCCTTCTACCCTAAAATATATTTTTGGTGTAAATTTCATGAAAATTCTGAGTAAAATGACAGATGTTTATATGACACTTTCTCCGGTTTATAGGACCTCTCTCATATTCTAAACATCTTCGGGGCTAGAGGGCACGAAGTGCCTGGAAGCCCCACTACCTTTTTTTTTTTTTTTTTTTTTTTTTTTGAATATGATAATATTGATTATTTATTTATTTATTTTTTGTCTGGTGAAAAGTCTCGCACTTCACAATCTCATAATTTGATTATATAGGGTGTCCAAAGGTGTGTTTAGCACAAACCTGAATACTGCGAATAGAAATAAACAAGTTACATATATATAAAGTTTATTTAAATATAATCACCATTGGATTCAATCACGCGTTCGCAGCGATCGATCCAGGCTTGAAAGACACGCTTTAAATCATCATGAGAAAATTGCTCAAATTGCTCTCTTACAAAATTTTCAAGATCATCTGGACTCGCGAATTCGCGTCCTTCAGCTCTCTTTTTTAGCGTGCCGAATAAATAAAAGTCAGAGGGTGCAATATCAGGTGAATAAATTGGGTTTGGAACAACTTTGACATTGTTTTCCACCAAGTAATTCATTACCTTATGACTTTTGTGAACTCTTGAATTATCAAAATGAATTGCAAACTTTTGTTTGTTGTTTGGATTTCTCAAACTCATCAGAATTGATAATTTGAGTAAGAACATTGTCAATTAGATACTGAGCATTCATCGTATTAGGTTTTTGAAGAATATCAATTGCGATGATGCCATTCACGCCCCAAAAAACCGACAACATCATCATTGGTGTGTCAATTTTTTTCTTCGGGAATGTTTGCGGATTTTCATCCTTCGGGATCCACATGATTTTGGCTTCTGTTGCATATTGAAACCAAGACTCGTCCCCTGTTACTAAAAAGCGAAACTTCTTGGATTGATACGCACCCAATATAGAGAGGAGCTCTTTCGAAGATTGGACTCTAGATTTTTTTTGAACTGAATTAAGGTTGTGCGGAACCCAACGTGTATACGCTAGTTTGTAGTTCAAATAATTGTGCAGATAATAACTGACTGTTGTACGTGGTATCTTTGTCATCTCCTCTATCCTTCTGAGTGATGCTCTTGGGTCTTCATCTAGCGCTTGAAGAATTGCTTTGATTTTTCTTTGATCCGGCGATTTTTTGTCAATTTTTATGATGGGCGCCTTTTTGTTCATGAAGTGATACATCCTAACATGATACGTTACAGTGGAATAGCTAGGAGCATCCATACCGAAGCATTTTACCAATGTCTCGTAGATTTTTTTACAGTCTTTGCATTTTTTTGCAAGAGCGAGGATGTTTTCTTTATGATTCATTAAAAAAATGAAAAAAATCCCGCCAAAATTTTCCGCGAAACCGCCTCTTGTCTCAAAATTCATTTTATATCCCGGCATGGCGCCAAAATACAACATACTCATCATATACATATATTCATATTTTTTATTATATATTTATAATCAGCATATATCTCCTTTAATAGTCTCATATAGAGCGCTGTGCTAAACGCACCTTTGGACACCCTATATTAATTAAAAATATATTTCATCACTTATATTCTAATTTTTATTTAATGATAAATGAAACCAATTTTAAAAATAAATGAAACAGAGGAGGAGGAAATTAATGAAAGTGAAGATGTTCAACAAAAAATAAACGTTGTTAAACCAATTACTGAAATAAAAATTTTTTCATCTATTGAAGAATTTAATGACTATTATGCTAATAATAAAAAATTATTTGAAGAATTGACAACGTGTAAATTGAATAAAATGTTTAAAGTTGATGGATTCAAAATTTCAAAAATAAAAGGAGTGGTTAGTTTGAAATCTATTCCTCAATCAAGAATCACCTCATTAATGAAAATTGATGATTTAACAAAAAGAATAGAAGAGATTGAAGAAAGAATAAATCAAATAATTGATATCATAAATTCAAATAATCATTAGTTTCTTAAAGTTCTATGTTGAACTCATCAAATTCTTTTTCTCGTTTATGAGGTCTTTGATTATGACTCCATTGATTCCATTCAGGATTTAAACAATGTTTAATTAATCGCGGAATATCTGACATCATCTATATATAGCTTCTTTTATAAAAGATGAAATAAATTATTTTAAAATTAATGTTAATTTTTTAAAATGTGTTTATGTATGGGCTGAGTGTAAATGTCTTACAATTTTGAAAATTTTTTAAATCTTGATTTATTCAAAAACGTAAGAATAAAAACCGTCAGAATCATACATTTTTTACTTCATATGTTAAAAAAAATGATACAAAATCGCTCGATATTGTATGAATTCTTACGTTTACAAAAAAAGTCACACAACCCATCCTATCCTACTACTATTAGATATGAAATGAAAGTCATGTCACTTTTTACATAGAATTTATGAGGAAAAAATTTGAACCACCGAAAGCAAGGAAAATTCCAGCATATTGGATAAACACACCAACTCATTCAACTCTGTATGCTCCAAAGGAGTTCCCAGATCTCGAATTTATCATGATGAAAACTCCAATGAATCCAAAGTTGTTAGAAACATTTCCTCCGGAGTACAAATGGACATTTTATGCAGCCGCAAGTACTGCTAGATCCATGTGCCCCCAAAATACCGAATTTATAGCAATAAATGTTGCGAAAAAAGGCAGCTACGTGAGTGAGATAGATTGGAAGACAACGGGCATACATTATGAAGAAATACCAGTTCAATGGGGAAATACAATTTCAAATGTCGATCATTTCTATAAAATTGTCGCAAAATATAAAGAAATCACCCAATTCAAGTTATGTTTCCTTGTATACTCTAGCAGAGGCTATGATAAGCCTGCGTACCTCATTGCTTCTGCTTTATTAAGCAAAATCCCTGAAATGGCCGAAACTATATTTACAGACATCAAAGCCGTCCATCCACCAGGTTTTCTGAAGACCAAAGCATTACGCGTCCTTTCCCATGAATATGGCTTGAATCTAAAGGTCCCTGACGAAGTTGAGATTCCTGAGTGGTATTTTCCACTTCCTGTTCCAGATTCTGGCGTTCCTCCAATTCCTCTGTTAAAAGTAAACTTCCCCGGCCTACAAGAAATCGGTGCTACTTCAGGAAATGGAGCTGATGCGAATAATGTAAGGAAAATCTTAGGAGAATACGGAATTATTGAAGCGGGTCGCTTATCGTCAACCATCCACAATACCATTTGGTCATCTCAACTTCTCGGATTGTTCGAAACTACAAAATTCAGAGTCACATTTGAACCAGAAGGCTCTAGTATTTTAATTTTGGCAACAGATCTGAACTTTAGCTACGTAATAGATAAGAATGGAGAGGTTTGGATAGCTCCAATCATCGCAAAAACGCAATTACCGTTGATATGTCGTGGAATACTACAAAAGAAGCGCGGTGGCTCATCAAACATATTTTTGATCGATATCATGAGATGTGGACAGCTCAATTTTGCAGAAGAACCTATAGATAATCGAATTTCGTATCTTTGGTCGTTCGTTGTTGAAAATTTATCGACAAAAGATGATAGCAAGAACATAGAATTTATCGTTCGTACTATTGCTTTACTCAAAAACGCAAGCGACGTTTACAAATGGATATCTAAGATGAATTTCCGTTGTTCAGGAATTACTTTGGTTCCAATCGAAGGCAATCTTAATGGTTCGATATTTATACCGCTCAATGGCTGTCTAATTCCTTTCCAAGCTTCATTACATGATGGCCAAACCGCAATTATCTATTCCAACAACAACGGCGAGATGGTTCCTGTTTCCTTTGCAAGGATAGATGCAGAAGCAACAGGAATTGACGGCAGAACAGTCTACGCTTATTATTCCCCCGAAATTCACAACTGGGTCATCAAAAAATACTCTCGAGACTTACATAGATCGAATTACAGCTATGTCTGTTCAATGATGAAGTTCTTTGATACTGATGCTCACACAATTGACGTATTGAAGTTTTTGGTGTCCAGATTTTCGAATCTTTGAAATGTTATTTATAAAAATATTATTTTTTATGTGTTTGTTAAAAATACTGTTCATTTTTTACAATTTTTATTCGAAATTTCCAGAAAATACATAATTTTAACCAGAGTTTTTCAAAAGGTACATTCACTATTTTTGACAAAATTTTAAATTTTCATGGGGTTGTAAATCTTATAATAACTAGATGAATAAGGAATAAATCCCAGTATGATGTGCATCATTATATTAAACACTATATGTAAGGCTGGTGATTCTATTAACACTTATGAAGATCTATAGTATTTGAGCAGATAAATTTGATAATTTCCAAAACTCTTATATTTCAAAATTAAAGTGTGCAAAAGCATTTAAATGAGAGCAAAAAGAGATTGATGCTGCTAAAACTAGGTGTTAAATTCCAATTATTTTGCATCACAAGAACTACCCAGTAAATTCGGCCATCTTTTTTTGCAATTATTCTCTATTACACATATAATATAATGGTTAGGGTTTGGGGAAAAGTTACTAGAGAATTATTGACTTTTGAAATAATGCAGAATTTTACTTGAAGAAATCATTAATTTATGAGTTCCAAATTGCTAACCATGACGAAAAATCATTAAATTTGCTACAATTAAATACATTTATTGCAGAATTAAGATTATTGAAATTAAAAATTTGAACTATTGCCTTTTTGAATAAAAATTTAAATTTGATTATATAATCATGATAATATATTATTGAAATTAAAAGAAAATATTTTAAACCATTCAAATATTTTGAATGTCTTATCAATTTAAAATATTAAAAGATTGCTTGATTTTATCATCATTAGTTGTTATCAAAGTTTTCTTCTTTTGATGAACAACAGTAAATGATTTGTTAATACCTTGTCTTCCTTTTACGCAGCAAAATCAAAAAGTATGATGATAATCTTGTACTCAATTTTGAAACTCTCTGATTTACAAGTAAGCATTCCTTTGGAAAAGCAGTCCTATTCTGTTTTCAAGATATTTTAAAGCCCCCATTTCATACAATGCGCAGATCTATTCGAAATTGCAAGAACTCTCAAGAAAAATGCTGCAGCAAAGAAGATTCCAAAGTTTCTAGCATCAAAAATTTACAACCTTAATACAACAGTTCAAGAGAAGCTCGATAAGAAAATATTTAACCATAAAGCTGGATACCATTCGATATTTACTATTGGATATAATAAAAAGTTAATTGTAACATATTTTACATGCTATTTGCTGACTCTGTTCCATTAGATTACCATATATCTGTTTGAAATCTAAAAAATTTTTACGATTTTAACCATGTGTTGTTGAAATCATATACCATTCTTAGCTAAAGTATAGTTTATGAGTCTGTCACCATCTAACTATATGAATTTTCAAAAATGTCAAATATGTTCATTTTTTCTGTATATTCAGCCACAATTTCATGTAGTTGTACTATTCAACTATTATTTAATAATTATATCGATTTAAATATATGATGAGATGCTTAGTTCTCCCGGAAATCGATTTTTAATCACAATTTTAACTTTCCAAAAAAAATTCGAAAATAAAAATTCCTCTCAATTTTCTAAGTTTCCTAACTCGCCAAATCTCTAGCCAATTTTTTTTGGCCCGTATAAATATTGTTAGGCACTATATAGGGATGCTATTTATCCTATTTTCATCCCATTTTACTGTTATCGCCTAGTGAATGTACCTTTGTTTTTCATGATAAACAACTAACTTTGATTGAAACAATTAGCTTCTAAATTACTAGCTGCTTAGAGAGTCATGTAAGAATATATTTGGGTTCAATTTAATATCGGTAAAATTAGCAAGAATTTCAGAGTTGATGTTAAACCTAGGACTGTTAACTCTAAAACTTCAACATATAGTGATCTGGTTGAAATTTGTTTATATTAAGATGTCAATACTTATAATTTTCAAGAGTTTTTAGATTATGTAATAACAATTTATAAATTATTTATTCTTACAAACATTAGACCGCTGTTCTTCTGATTTCAAATAATAAACAATTTCATGATGATTCCGTTCTGATGCGCAAATGAGTGAAGTTCTTCCCAGATCATCTTTTGCTTCTTTATTAGCTCCAATTGAAACGAGATATTTAACTGTTTCAAGACAACTTACTTCTGAAGCTAGAATGAGTAGATTCCTTCCATGAGAATCCTTTGTTTCTTTATCAGCTCCAACAGAGATCAGATATTTAAGTATTTCAGGATATCCATGTTTGACTGCTTCACATGCAGCAGTATCTCCGAACATATCTTTTGCATTGATATCAATTCCAATTGAAACGAGATATTTAACTACTTCAAGATGACCAAACACAGATGCATAATGCAGTGAAGTTTCTCCACTACAAGATTTCGCATCTTTATTTGCTCCGACAGAAATAAGATATTTAACTAATTCGAGATGGCCTGCTTGCGATGCACGCATAAGTGGAGTCCAATTAATATGACTAGTTGCATCTATATTCGCCCCAATAGAGATAAGATATTTAACGACTTCAATATGACCTTTTTCTGCAGCCTCAATAAGTGGTGTGTATCCATTGTAATGGTTTTGAGTTTCTTTATCACATCCAAATTCAATAAGAGATTTAACAAGTCTGAGATTTCCTTTTCTTGCAGCTTTATGAAGTATTGTTCTTGGATGTCGTTCTTTTTGCTTTTCCCAAATCCCTTCTTCACATGCCTTTGACATAATATTATGATATCCTTGTGTAAGTTCATCAAAGAAACAATATATATCATTAAATGTAAGATTACCATTCGAATTCTTAAATTCAGCGATTTTTGATAAATTTTCTTTTGAATCAAAATATGGTCCGAATTTTCTTTTTCCCTCATTTAAGTTGGCAATATCTTTTTCATTGCGTTCAAGTTTAGATCTGAGTGACAGTATTTCTTTTTCACATATTTGCTTTTCGCTTTCAATGGCATCTAATTTACATTTTAATTGCTCATAAAAAGACAAATAACCCTCAATTTGCAGTAAATTGTCAATTATTCCATCTAAAAAGTTGTAATTCATGTACCTTTTAACTAATGATAAAATAGAAATGGCTTCTCGCAAAGAACCTACTGAAATATTTGTCTTTGACACACACTGAAAGAGATTGTTTGCATTCTCTTTCTTTGATATTTTATCGAGAACAGTTTTGAAATCATCAGAGGTTAAATTTGTATGTTTAAAGGTATTTTCGAGATTACCCTACGTTCCCAACTTCTGGAAAACGGTTTTTCACCCTTATGATCAGTTTCAGACACTTTGGGAATCTCCCAAACTTTGATATTTTGCATTATGATAGAGAAACGTGTCTAGTTTAACGCACAGTTGTTTTAAAGGCAAATGATAATATCACATGAAATTATCAAATTATCAAATTTTGAAGTACCAGTCCAAAGGGTTAATTAGATCCTACACAGATGTGCGATAGTGAAACATGTGTGTTCTTGATTTGAGAAGTCCTACTGATAGAGGTATGAATCTCACAGCTTTGTGTGAGTGTGTCTGACACTTGTATAGAGTGGAATATGCGCCGACATATATTATATAATAACATGTAGTTGATAATTATGAAATAATAGAATTTGATGCGAATGATATTGAAAGTTGTTTTGTAATTTGATGTTTTTCTTATATGTGTTAATTAGTAAATGGCTTGTTTGTTGTGATCGTACTGTGAAAAATGAAAGGTATTTTAAATTAAAAAAATGAGATTTTGAGATATCTCTAGAATTAAGAATTTATTATGTATTTGACTTTTATATAACTATGTGTAAAGGATCTCGATATCTATATGCTTTAAATAAAATTAAATAAAATGAGATAAAAAATTAAAATGGACAAGAAGATATATGGAAATGTAATTTGTATTGTATTGGTTGTTGGCAAAATGATTTTAATACAGATTTAAGGATTTGGAATGGATTTGAAATTAAATGATTTTTATTCAAGGAATAATAAGATTTTGAACTGGTTTTTATTTTGAGAATGTAAACTCCTTCCATAGGATATGTATTAGAAAGATCAATTTTAAACTTTTTGAAAGAATTGTTTTTTTGTTGAGTGATTTTCTCTCATTTGATAATATTTTTAAGTTGGCGTATCTTACGCCCTTCCAAAAATATGTATTAGAAAGATCAATGTTAAACTTTTTGAAAGAATTGTTTTTTTGTTGAGCGATTTTCTCATATTTAATAATATATTTAAGTTGGCGTATTTTACGCCCTTCCAAAAATATGTATTAGAAAGATCAATGTCAAACTTTTTGAAAGAATTGTTTTTTTGTTGAGTGATTTTCTCTCATTTGATAATATATTTAAGTTGGCGTATCTTACGCCCTTCCAAATATTTCTTAAAAATTTAAATTTGTCTCATCTCCTACTCTTAATTTAAAAAAATTTCAAAATCCATAATAGTAAATATTTCTTATTTTTATTTAAATCTGAAAAAAATAAATTTAAACAATTTCTCTACACACGACGGTTTCGGCGGTTTTCAGAATGGTTGACAACTGAATTCATCAGGATAATGTCGGTTGGGGTGCCCTTCTTGGCCTCCTGAGTACTCACCAAGATACCCCTAGCTCCCGCAAAACACCTCCCATAGGTGAGCATTAACTGATGAAGTTATTGACAACTTTATCTGATTTTTTTTTGTTTTTTTGTTAAGATTTCTTAACCAAAGACTCGAAAACAAAACTTCGCTTCAAGTTGCTGTCTTCCCAGTTACTCTGTCGCAATCTTTTGTCTGATTGCGTGCAAAGTTCTGCTCCTTTGAGACTTTGCCCGACAGATGCATCTGGGAGACAGCACCCAAGCAGCTTATCGCTTCAAGTTGCTGTCTTCCCAGTTACTCTGTCGCAATCTTTTGTCTGATTGCGTGCAAAGTTCTGCTCCATGAATTATCAAATATGTGCCATTTCAGGAGAGATAACAAGCTCATGCCTCCTGGAATGGCGGATTGTTCAACAATCTTCTTCTGATTGCAGAACTTTCAACCGACAAGAGGTGCATATGCACATCTTTTAGGTTGCAATCTGTGATCCCAGGAGACATAACAAGCTCATGCCTCCTGGAATGGCGGATTGTTCAACAATCTTCTTCTGATTGCAGAACTTTCAAACGACAAGAGTGCACAATACACTCTTGTCGGTCAAAGTTCCGCATTCAAGTTATGAATGGGGAACTTGATATCATTCTGGGAGACATTCAGAGGCAATGTCTCCCGGAATGAGACACTGTGACCGATAAGAGTGCACAATACACTTAATGTTTTCAAATTTTCAGATTTAAATTTAATCTTTATTTTCATCATCATTTATAGTCTTGTTCCTTTATACAGTTATAATAAATTATCGTCAGATTCTAATATTTAAGATTCTTACTACTCAATTCAATATAATTATGTTAGTCACTCATATTCAGGAGAATAATTTAAAAATCTATAGCTCATATTTTGATAGTTATATATTTAGATGATATATATTGCAATTCCGGTTTCAACACGATCAAATGCCAAACCAAGACAAAATATATATGAATTTTCAAAATATCGATTTACATTAGAATCTATATCTAATTTTATCAATACACAAGTAGTTAATGTTCAATACATCTTTGAGCAACGTGAATATCACAATTTTATAGGATTATTAGTTGATTATATAAAATATAAGCCAAATCGAATCTGCTGTATAGTACTATAGTTTATCATTGAATGTTAAATGTGTTCATATAAATATTTGAGTCAGATATCGCATTTTCTAATTTCAAAATTTATCTCATGAAGTTAGAATTTATTTGATCATACAACATCATGTTAGTCAAACCAGAGTTCAATGGCGATTCTAAAATGGAACAAATGCTTGTTTTATCAAAATGTTAAAATATTAATCTAAAAAACTTAATATCTAACCAAACCATTCTAGAATTATTATATACAGGTATGGGCAATCTAAATGCACACGGAATTCGGAAAATTAAAAAGAATATTTATGAGATTATTAAATCTTATGTAATTCAATGAAAAGTAGATAATATGAATATCCATAGGCTATATATCAACATATGAGTTTTTGGTTTGACCAATACTATACTAATGTGATCAAATTAATCTGATTTCTTAGATTTTCATTTGAAGCATTTGCAGTAGTAGGGGTACCTTTATATATTAACATATTAAAAAATTGCGCTCCGATTCGCAGTTTCTTTATGATTTTGAGATTGCATTAGATTTCGCGATGCAGAAAAAAATCACTTTAGATTCCCGTCAAACTCTAAGTATAAGCATGTCTCTGTATGTAGAAACTGTCTGCGCTATTTATTTCCCGGCTCAAAAAACCACGGTGTCTGTGTGAGGAAAATACCCATTTTAGGACCCTGGGTAGGGGGTCATGAAAATTTTCCAAGAGTTGGAAATATAGGGTATCTTGATTCATAATATCAAAAAACGCATCATTTTTAATTAAATTCATGATATTGGCTGCAGCTTCCTTGTAAATCGCATCACCATTTCCATTCGACATTTTAAAGTCGCAAAGGGTAATTTTTTACCATTTGTAATTATAAATTTTGTAATTTATAAATTGATGAACAAAATGGGTAGTTCATTCCTTATCTTTTGGCTTAATGGTTGACAACAGGCTCATAATTTTTACTACTACCATATAATTATCTAAATTTATTTCGGTGATGATTGTTTATCAATAGAGGAATTTAATAGTACAGTTGAACCTATATATTGCCTCATAATTTTTGGAACATTAGATCAAATTTCTATAAATCCTTCAATATCTACATATTTTAATATTGAATAATGCATATAAACAAACAGCAAAGGATAAGAATTGACTTTGATCTTCGATGCTTGATATTTCGTGCAAATATTTATTTAGGAATAACAATGCTACAAAATTCGATTGTAATAATACGTTTTCTCAAAATGGCAATCTATAGATATAATAATTGTTTATTATTAAAAAAAAGGGATTATAAAAAATAGTGAAAGCGAAGCTTGGAATGATACATATGGTCTTATTCACGAAAAGGTATTTAATTTATGTGACAACTGCAATCAAGTTATTAGGGACGATCAAAGTCTTCTACCGGAGTATAAAAATTTCATGGAGTTTCCAGGTTTACACTATAAGAAGCTTATGAAGTTATACAAAGATTACTGCAATGCGTTTGACTCATTGTACAGACTTAGAACACGTAATGAAGACAAAATTAATCAAATTTGCAAAGATATTAAAAACAAATTAATCAAACCTAAATTCTTTAGTCCATCTCAGATTATTGACATTATTTCTAAGATTTCAAAATACAATAACACATATATGCGGTCATATTTAGACATTATTTATAATTTATATGATGAATTTCATCCAGAACACTTTAAATCCATGGACCCTCTGTTTGATTACCTTTTTTATAGAGAATATGGAATTGTTTTAGATAATAATGATCAAAAATTCTTCGACGAATATGAATCTCGAAAATATTTTATGATTTTTGATGATGAAAACACGATTTACAAAGCTATCATGAATGATGACAAAGAGTCATTTATAGCGTTCACAGAAAAGAAAGAATTTGATAAAAATCAATGCATTGAAAGTGAACTTTATCCAGAATCAGAAGAAGGATATTCATTCCTTGAATTATGTTGTTACCATGGAGCTGTTGATTGCTTTAAGTTTTTAAGAACAAAATTCAACGCATTAATTACAGAAAGATGTCTTAGTCTTTCATTTTTAGGAGGAAATCCTGATATTATGAGTGAATGTTTGAAAATGCAAAAACCATTTCAAAAATGCATGGAATATGCAATAATTTCCCACAACATTGATTTCGTTACTTTCTTGATGAATGAATACAAGCTGAATATTAATCTTGAATGTTGTTATCAATATAATAACCTTGAAGTCTTTTTAATTTATTTAGATCAGACAAAGAATTTTAATACATGTTTGATTTCTTCACCATGTTTTCATATCCCTTCTCTTTGCGAATATCTTATCTCACAAAAGGCAGATGTTAATGCAAAAAATGAACAAGGAAAAACACCACTTCATTGTGCAGTCGAATGTAGTGATAAAGTAATTGCAAAGCTCCTTATTTCACATGGTGCTGATGTGAATTCAAATAAATATATTTTTGGAGCACCACTTCGTTATGCTATTTATTACAAGGATAAGGAGATGGTAGAGTTCCTACTTTCCAATGGAGCAGATCCCAAACAAAAAGATTTAGAATCAGAAAGTTTACTTCAATGTGCAATAAATCGAAATCAAAAAGAAATTGTCGAACTTTTTATTGCAAAAGGTGTTAACATCAATGAAATATATGCATCTGGAGAAACTGCTCTCCATATTGCCGCTGCATCTAATAATAAAGAAATAACAGAACTTCTTATTGCTCATGGTGTTAATATCTATGCAAAAGATAAAAATGGAGAAACTCCTCTTCAAATTGCCGAGGAAAGAAATAACGAAGAGGTTGCTCTACTTCTTAAGTTACACATCAAGGCATAAATATGATTACTAGGCTTATTACTCTACTTTAAACTAATTTTATTAAAATTGATAATAATCTTTTTTAATCTACTAATCAAACATGCTTAAATCATGTTGCTGTGCTTGTAGATTGCATTGCATACTTATTGATTTTGGATTTAATGTTAAATTTTTATAAAATTATTAATATCATGTAAAATAGTAAGAGCAAAGCTAAAAATGTAAATATTTCATAGATTAGATAGTATTTAACAAAAATAATATATTCAAACAATAAAAAATTAATTAAAATTTGATAGTAACTAAAAGGAAGCCTAAAATCCATACAATAACTCCCAAGCATATACCTAAGATATTGCTGATATCAAAATCGTAGCATGGAAGAATGACTAGTGAAAGAGGTCCTGAAATCAAACCAAGAAGGAATCCAATGATAAATCTACGCACACCAATAAATCCGCATACTCTGTATTCATTTGTATCTCTTCTCCGGAAGAATAAATTTGGGAAAATATCTGCAAGATCGTCAACGGCTCCTTCATCAAGGATAATTGTATTGTCATCGTCCAAATTAGTAGTATACATACCCAACAATCCATGCAGACTGTTCGGTGAATTACTCTGTATGTAGGGATCCCAAACAACATTTACCAAAAACTCTTTTTCGCCGGAATCTAATGTAAGTAAATCATCACGCTCGTACACATAGCCATCTTTAACAAGACATGCATTTGCTTTTTGTGGCTTTGTTATCGTAGGATCTGATAAAATCGTTTTTAAAAACGATTCTGCAGTAGCATCTTTGCTAAGAGTATATCTTTTGCGGCTCCTGTCTTCAAATGCCGCTGTTATGACTATTTTAGATGGATCAGATTCTGGTTCTATCATTTAATTTTGCATGAAAATAAAAAGTGGCATCTGTAAAATGTAATTGATCGCCAAAACTAGTTTTTTATTATCTTTGTTGAGAGTACTATTATTAGTATTTTCATCAAGAAAGTGTCAAAAATTCGAAAGGTAAAAATGTTCATTCTTCAAATTCGGCCTTTTTCAGCCCAATAGATATGGAAAATGAAAGCATATATAAGACAACAAGCATTAGTATACACTATATAACATGTATACACAACTTTTGCTCCTTTTTATAGATGCAAATGCCTCCAAACAACAAGTTTGCGATGGATAGAGATTTCATCAAAAAAGTGCCAAAGATTTTTGACAATTATGGGTAAAAAAGATTTATCTGAGGCAAAAAGAATTTCAAAACATCTTAAGCACGGTGGTCTTGGAAAACTAAAGCTTTTCTGCGATGTTTGCAAATTTCAAGCTCGAGATCCTGAAGCATTTAGAGCGCATACACAAACTGAACATCACAGATTGATGATGGCCCGGTTCAGACAATCTGAAAAGGCAACAATTGATGCCAATTCAATGAAATTTCAAAAAGAATTTTTACAAGTTCTGAAAACAAGATTTCCGAATAAAGAAGTTAACGCAAATATTGTTTATATGCAAACAATTTCAGATCGTAATCATCAGCATATGAACTCAACTCGATGGGAGTCTGTTAGAGGTTTCCTTACAGAAATGCAAAGATTAGGTTATTTAACTGTAAGAACAACCGAACAAGGACGATTCATCAAGTACATAGAAGTAGATCCTGCTCTTCAAATCGCAGAAAAAATTAAAACTCAAGTAGAAGAACAATTTAATAAAGACTTAGAAAACACAAGATCATCAATTGAGGAACAAATGAAATCTGCTCCTGCTGTTGTTTTCGAAGATACAGTCAAAGCTCCACAATCCGTTAATGTCAGCTTTGCAACAGAAGAAAAACCTGTTCAGAAAAAGGTGTCATCTCTATTTGGAGGAAGCAACAAGCCAAAACCACCTCCAAAGCCTCCAATGAAATTATAATAATTATATTTTTGTTTTAATGTTTGTTTGTAAATAGATTTTGTTTTAATGAGCTCAGTTTATATAGTGTTATTGATATTTTGAAGCTCAGTTTATATATTGATAATCAAATTGAAAAATGATTAAAATTCTTAAATCAAGTTCTTTAATTTATCTACAGGCGATAAAACATAGAGATCTAAATATCATATCTGTATGCTAGTCACCAATACCTTTAAATTAAAATGATATAAAAAATTGAATTGATTAGAAATAAATTTAATAATAAGATATAGTTTATTTTCTAACACCAATTGATTTCTTGCTCTTTTCATGAATAAGCTTTAATTGCATTTCTCTTTCCTTAATTTTCTGCTCTAAATCTGCCTTTTGTTGTGCCAAAGTATCTTTTTGCTGCTTTAATGAAGTCATCTTCTTAAGGTATGCCTTCTTCTCTCTTTCTTTTCTTTCAAGTAATTCATCTTCTTTCTGTTTCAAATTAGCAATAGCGGCTCTAATTTCCTCATCTGTTTGCTGTGGAACTGCCTGGGCTTCACCTGATATTGACTTTTGTTGGAAGTTAACCTGACCTTTTAATCTTCTATTTTCTGCAAGTAAATCATGGCGTCTTTCTTCAAGTAGCTTAATCTCTTTCTGTGCAGCTTGAAGTTGGCTTTTAAGCTTCATAACATTTTGTTGAGCTTCAACTGTATCATCACTCGAAGCATTGAGTTTTCTAAGCGCCTTTTCTTGACGTTTGGCTGTATCTACAAGTGCTGAGTTTTCTGATTCAAGGGCGGTAAGTTCTTTCTTTCTGACAGCAATTTTATCTTTAATTGTTCGTGCATCGTATTTCTTTTGAGTTGAAGCTGCTGCAGTATCACAACAGTTTTCTATTAATGATAATTTTCCTAATAGCATTTCACCCATTGAAGCAAAATCTTGGCTTGTTGTTAAATCAACGACGGGAAGATTGCTTTGCTGGATTTTCGCACTGCTAAGGATATTATCGAAAAGATCATTCATCAGGCAAAGATTAGTCCTGAGCTCTGTATCTAGTTCACTCACAGCGCTCATTGTCACCTTTTTTATTTATAAAAATGAGCAGTGAAATAGATGGCATTTTAAAGAATCTTGCAACAATTCCAGGAGTCACAGGATGGATGGTTCTCAAAATGAACGGTCTTCCATACAAAACTTCACTCAGAGAAGCTGAATCCGTCCATTATGCAGGTTTAGTTAGCGAGTTTGTTAAAAAAGCTAAGACTTCCCTTGAAAATAGCCTTCTCCCAGGAAGTATCAGCCAAATTCGTGTAAGATCACATAAAAATGAGATTATCATCGTACCAGATAACGATTTCATCTTAATTGCTATCCAAGATGCATCTATCCCAGCTTAAATAAATTATTGATTCAGTATGTTTGTTACAAATTTATTAACGATTCTACATCTTAAATATTTTGTTTCTTATTTGAAATAAATTCTCTAAAATCACAGTTTTCTTAGAGATATTAAATAATTATTTTCATTTTAAGATTGGATCAATACGCAGCCTTAATTGTTTTTGAAGATTGAAAGCATTTTACATTTTAAGCTTGGTTAACAATTGAAAATAGTATAAATGATTAAACAAGATAAAAAGAAGACTCTAAAGAAAAGAGTTGATGTAAATAAAAATACTAATTTTTTATTCTGAGTAGAAAAGGTACAATTAGGTAAGTTTTAATACAAACTTAAAATGATTTGGCGTGAATAAAGCCGAAAGATTTGTTTGGCAAAAAGAAATCTACTTACTGTGTGTTAGTTTTGTTTAAAATAAAAGTTAAGCCGCCTCGGATAGGTTCTTGTCATCTTAAAATCAGACAAGGCTGAAAATATCTTCAGAGGCAAAGCAAGCAATACATACTTTAATGAAGAAAAGAATTCTTCTTGAAATATGGCCAAGCAAAAGTGACAAAATCAGTTGAGAATTTTTTGTACTCAAACTTTTTAACTGGCGCTTCGCACCGATAAAAATTAATGTCAAAATTATTCAAAATGTGAAGAACATGTTCGTGCATCGTAAAACGTTCTTGAACGAACTGTATTAATGCAATAATTTTCATTTTTGAATGATGTTTTTGATTTGGTTACATGAATTCTATTTAATCTGTGATTTTCTTTTGATTAATTGCAACAATCTTGGATGAAACTAACTTTTTCGATGCATAAATTAATGTCAAGATAGCAAATGCTCAAGAGATTTTGTTTTTTTTGAAAAATAGATTTACATTTATACGTAAAACGCTTAGTTTTAAGAACTAATCAAATGAATTGTGATAAGAAAACAGACGTCATTCATAATGCGAACAATGACAAGAAATAGAATGGTCGGTTCTAATCAAATTGATTTGTAAAATCAAATAAAATGAACAAAAATTCAATACAATTTGCACATGAATGAGTGGTAATCAATTAAACCGTATTTTGATATCGTACAGGCCAATCATGTAAAGCGAAATTCAAGATAATTTCAGTTCATTTTTATAGTTGGCCACTTTTAGTCCAAGAAAAAAATTTGACAGGAAGAAAGCTTTGTGAATTACCATGGAATGCGATTTAACCGGTATGCCGAATAAAAAAAGATAGCTCACAAAAATTGAAAACCTCATCGATATTTTTGTGAGTGGCTGATGTCACTTCTCATAAATGCTCTGCAGTGTTTCTAACTACCGCTTCTTCAAGCTCACAGTCGTTACAAAGGCTGGCGAGAAGGTCCCAATCAACTTCAACGATGGACAGACACTCTTTGATGCCGTTTCTGGCACAAAGGCTGAAGGCCTTCAGGGCAAGTGCGGAGGCAGCCAAGTTTGCGGCGAATGCCACTGCAAGATCCCACAGAACCTCTACGTTGTTCCAGATGATGACGAGAAGGAACTCCTCGCCAGCGGACAGGACGTTACACCAACATCTCGCCTTGCTTGCAACCTTGCCCTCAACTCCAAGTTCGATGGTGCTACAATCGAAATGACACACTAAATTTTTTACGTTTTTTTATCATATTTTTCTTAAACATATGAATTTAGATAAAATTATTGTGATGAAATGAGTTAATATGAATTATTCCTTGCAAGGTTATATTTATTTTGTGGAGTTCTTGGCTCAATAAAAAAATTTTTTATTATATAATGGAAATGATATTCTGCCAGATAGATTAATAGTCTTAGTAAATTCGAAGCCATTAAAATATGAAATCTTTTCCTTAAAATTTTTTAAAATTTTTATATATCAAAATTTTACTCACATTATGCAGATTTAGGATTACGAAGTTTCCTATGAAATCCAAGGATTGTCATTAAAGTAGCTGTTGTAAAAGCTAAGCAGACAATAACAAATAAAATGTCAACTGTTTCAGATCCTTTCATTAATTGGAGGATTAAAGTAACGACCAAGCTTACTGGGACACGAACAATGCCAAGAAGGTGTTTTCTGATGGAAGAAGGATAAATTTCACTTCTAAGTGTCCAAATTCCACTGTTTATGGCTCCATTGGACATTGCAGCGCATACATAAGCCAAGAACATGTAGGACTTGGTGTTGTAGAATAAATACATCGAGAAAATGCAAAATGAATATGAAACGAAACTTCCGGCCAAGCAAGAGGCAGGAGAGAAGAACAGGATGGCTGCTGATAATATTTGGGCACCATTCATTTGAGAAATCGAAGCTGAGTTCGAAATCTGAGATAATGGTATTTTTTCGGTTTTATTTATCTTATGGAAGACTGTCCATCTCGGGTTGTAGAGAAGAAGTATCATGGAGTAGAGAAAATCGATAATAAAGAAGATCGCGTACTCGAAATTCTTAAAATTCAAAATAATTTCTTTGATTGCGCCGAAATAGCTGGATTTCTTCTCATGTTCACGAGTGAATTTTGGCATAGTAACAAAAATAATGAAAGCAGAAACAGAAAATAGAATTGTTGAGCCAATAAAAGCGTATTTCGATCCAAAAGCGGTAGAAACCTTAGAACTGATTTGGCTGAGTATAAGATTGAGGCAGAAGTTTAGTAAAGCAGAGTTTTCCTTGATAATTGCTTGAGATTCCTTTGGAGCCTTGTTTTGCTCGAGTTGTACAGCAAGCCAGTCCTCAAAAACAACTCTATTAGATGCAGTGGATACACCCATGAGTACTGATGAGATTATAAACGAGTAATACGTGCCATAAGAGCGGCAAAATGAACTTCCACCAAGAAGGATTGCAGATATGATAATAAGGTTCTTGTGACCGAGAAGATCACATGCGTAGCCAATGACGAAGCCCCAAATAGCCGAAACAACGTTGAAAATAGACATAATATTATCAATTTGTGGATTTGTCATTCCAGTTTCGTGATATCTTTGGTGAACATATGGACCTTGGAAGATGAATCCGGCCATGAATGAGAAGTAGCAAATAAAATACTTGATTTGTAGTTTGGTCAGAAGAGAATCTTTGATTTGCTTCACTTTCCACCACTTTAAGAGCTTAGTAATGCTTCCTATTGTCACGGTAACTATGAACACCCATAAAACAAGCGTGTGATTTAAAGGGATCATTATTGAAAAATTTTTAAATTTGTCACTTTTAATCCAAAAAATTATCAGAATTTTAATTGAAATCAAGATAAACATGGGCTCAAGTCATCTTTAACAGATGACGATATATGGAATAGTTACTACCCAAGCCAATTTACAGAAAAGCAAACTAAACATTGCCAGAATTGTAATCTAACATCAGGAAAAGGTCAATACTACTTAGAAGAATGTAATTTTTTTGATGATCATGATCGAGTTATCAATTTTAACTCTATTACTAACTCATTGTTCCTACATAATCGGTGTTATTTTAGTAATTGCACTTCAACAGAGGAAGGCAGCTGCATTTGTTACAAAATTGGCAGTAATAGTTCAATTGTTCAACGAAAGTTCTGTTGTACAAAATGCCAAAGTCAAAAAACAGGTCAATTTTCATATACAGAAGTTGACACAAATAATTTAAACTTTTTTATTGAAAGTTCCCTTTTCAATGTAGGAAATGAAGATGTTGGTAATGTAATTAATGTGAAAAATGATAACATCCTGATTTCATTGACAAATTTTTCTTCCTGTAAAACGAAATTCTACACAGTGGGATATTTCAATCATTCTTCATTTAATTTCATAACAAAATTTAATTATCCAACTGTTGTTAATAATTTCGCAACAGGTACATCAGGTGTGATGATACAAATTCGTTACAACTCTTCGATTGATTCATGTAATATTATAAATAATACTAATACAAAATCAACAAGTGGAATTATTCTTCATGCATATAATTCTCTTACTGTAAAAAGTTGTTCTTTTATTAACAACACTGCTCCTCAAGGTTCATGTTTGATATATAACACTCAAGATCAATTAACAGTTGATAGTTGTTACGTTGACAATTCGATTTCAACAACATTTCTTAGTAATGTAGAACCTACTAATCCAAGAGAACTATTCACTAACAAATTGATTCATCTTTCAACCAGAATTTGCCAAGCAGAATTTGCAATTATCAATAAAAGATATTCTAAAGTTAATAAACTTTCTCTTTTGTTTATTGCTTTACTAAACATTAATATCTCTTTATAATTATTTCTGCATCAATGACACTTCAATATTTGATAAACATATTTTTGGTGCTCTAGAGAGAATTTTTGAATAAACCAAATGTTAACAGTGATAACAGATAAGAAAATTAATTTAAATTTATTTCAATCTATTGGAGAATTTTTATAAATCTCAAAAAATTTATAATAACATATGATTGCTTATTGCTTTGGCATCTTCCATTCAAGATGCATGTTGTTGAGTGGCTGAAGACCACGTGTAGCACGAAGGATATTCTCCATGCAAGCACGCTGCTGGAAGAGTGAGTTGATGACTGGTGTGCCTGTTGGTGTTCGTGGAGCTTTAAGAAGGAAGGAAAGAACTGAGTAGACAGCGTTCATGTGATGGAATTCCTTCATTGTCTCATCTTTGAGTTCAACACGTGTGAACAGTTCCATGAGGATGATGAGGTCGAGCATCAAAGGAGCAGCAAGAAGTGAATCTTCGCATGTGTTGTGAACAGAGATGATGTTCTTGCCACCACAGAAGATGTCCGAATCATACTCATCTAGAGCACGCTTTGAATCACCAACAGATGGAACATACTTGATGACAACAACATGATCTGGATGTTCTCCATTTGGATATAATATTGGATTGTATCCAACCATATCATCAATGACAGAAGACTTTGAGATCTGCTTTGAACGGAAGCATTTCTCGAAATCGAGGTTGAGGCCATCGTTGTTACCAAGGTGGTTGTAGGAAACAACAGCTGTTAACTTGAGGCCTGATGAGATGAGGAAGTCAGCCATGACAGATTTGAACTTTGTCTGGCCTGTCTTGAAGTCATCACCCATGATGGCGACATCTTCGCGTTCAGCGAGCTGGATAAGTCCTGGAACGAATGTGTTCTGTGGAGAACCATTGATGTATGGGATGTGTTCGAGGATAGCGGCTGTAGCGTAGATTGTTGATGGAGAAATTTCAGGGTCGTTGTTCTTGATGGCCTGAAGAAGCTGTTCTGGTGTCATGTGGACGCCTTCCTTGACTTCGCAGTATCTTTCTGTGTTGGCTGTCCAGAGGATGATGAGCTTCTCGAGCTTGTTCTGCTCCTTGAAGTCTCTCATCTGCTTACGGACTGTCTCGAGCTGTTCCCATTTGTTGCCTGGGATGACGTTGTCAGCGCGATCCTTCTGGTTTGGAGCAACGAAGTTGAGGTCGAAGACAGCTGGAAGTGGATGCATCTTCTCGAGCTCGTCCTTGAGTTGGATGAGCATGGCTGGCTCCATAACGTGAGCGCGGCGAGCAGATTCGTAGATGTTAAGCTTGGAAATATCCCAGCCACCGATGATTAAGTCGTTTGGATTGACCATTGGGAGTAATGCCTTGAATGGGGCGACATATGTTGTGCCCTTTTCATCTTGGCCAAGATATGTTGTGCCACACTGGGTAAGAGATCCGTGGTAGTTAGCCTTGACTTCGCCACGCTTTGTATCCCAAACTAAGCCGTGTTTGTTGGCATAAACACCAGATGTAAGTGTTGTACCGTTGTTGCCACCCCAGCCAATGAGCATGACACCTGTCTTTGGAACGTGTAAGTTTGTCTTGAACTCGAACTTCTTTGTTTCTGGAACAATCTTGATTCCATCTGCACTTGCAACTACGTGAGATGTATGATAGTCATACTTTGAGACCATTTCTTCGCCCTTGATTGTGACGTTTTGTGAATCAACGGAGAACTCGTTTGCAAGCATTCCGCGAAAAATGAAGTAAAATGTATCGCTTCAAATTTTTTACGATATTCAATCTTAAATTGAAAGAGAAGTGCGGTTTTCCGCTCAGTCTCCGATCATATTTGAGAGCTTAAGGATACCCTTACATTGCGTAGTTAGAAAGAGAATATGATATTGTCATGATTGCTAAAGTTTTAGGCTCCAGAAATGAATATACATCAAACTGAAACAATTGATAAATTGAATGAACTTTTGAGAGGTTCTCAAATAAAAAAAATTATCTAATTTTTTACAATATTACTATTATTTTATCCACATATGTATATATAGTAATTTGAGAAAACTTTTAGGAAAAAATAAGTTTAATAAAAATCTGAATTTTACTTGTTGTGGGATTGTTATTAATTGACACTCCAGACGTATTACTAATAGTTATGCGTATGCAATTAAAGTATTTCTGATGGACAAAATGTGAGATTTATATCAGATAATTCATTTCTACTATTAAGTTATTCATTTATGAGTTTGCACTTATTCGCACTAAATAAATAACTATTAAAAATTGTTTTAATTAATTGACACCATATAATAGAGTGAATTTTGTTTGATCAAACAACAATAGATGATAGATATAAAGCCAAGAAACTTGCTATTAATATGCTCTACTTGCTATTTCAATGTAAGTATGATATTTTCTAAATGTTTCGTTCAGATAACTTAGATATATTAGTCAAAATTTGAAATTTTAATAGCACATATATTAAAAATAATTATTATTCATAAAAGATTAATGAAATAGTAAAAAAAAATCAATCAAATTATAAAAATACAACATATGTTTTTTTATGGTTGTCTCATCATAGCATTTCATGAGAAAAAATATAATACTATTTATTTTTGCATAGTTCAATTTTTTTAAATAATGCAAGATATCCCGCCATTAGTTTTCATGAAATAATCCAAAAATCAGCATACACTTGAGAACATAGCAGCTCTACATGTTTTCGCTATTTATTTTCCAATAATATGAGGGGTTCACGGGATAAAGCTTCATTAAGCATAATTGATTACAATATCATCATATATATACCGAACATATAACAAATGGGATATTTGTATACTAAAATAAAAAAGGAGCAAATTATATAATTTTTGTCATGCTACTTATAGGTTCAAAAATCTTATAATATAAAAATATTTTCAAATACAAAGAAAATATGTGTTTATTTCAAATTTGAAAATTAGATATCTTGTGGGGTCCACTTTCCTCCTCTGTAATCACCTGTAGGGTTATCCTTAGGAAATCTTTTTGCATTTCTTGCCTTGTTGATCTCTTTTCTTGTTTCTGGTGTAGCTTTCTTTTGATTTCTGGATTTATTTTTCTCATATTCAAGTTTTTGGAGTTCGCGGATTGAAGGAGATATTTGGTAATTATTGACACGATTGTATATTTCTTGTTTGCATTTCTCTCCTTCGTTTTTTTGTAAAATTGTAACAGCCGTACGCATTTCAAACGATTTTGCGTTTTTTTCAACACAATCTTGTATTGTTAGTACCGACAATATGAAAGAAAGTTATACTGTATTTAATTTTAGCAATAAACAAAAAAATCTAAATTATATCTTTAGATACTAGGATTGATTTAATGACTAAGAACGTTTTTATCAATAATACCATGATTCATAACATATAGACATAACCTAAATATACCAAAGCATTTCTACTTGGAACTAGCGCATCGCCAAAATAATGGGTCAATATTCATTTGACGTAATGCTGATCGAGAGAAGTCTTTATATATAAGCCTTATCACAATGCCACGAATGCACCCAGCTGCAGGCGTGTCTTGTTTAACATTCATTCCTATATATGATGGAACATTAATCAATAATCATGGAAGTATCACTTTTCAAATAACATCATTGTTAAATGAAAGAAAATTGTATGCAAAATTACATTTTGGTAATGGTGAGACGCAATATGTTGAAGTATATATCATTATTATTTAATATACAAACAAACTCTAGTACAAAATTGTATTAATTCAACTTTCATGTCTAATATAAAAACTTTTTAAAAAAAAGAGATATAATCGTGTATAATATGAGAAAAATGAATATCAATACAAAATAAAATATCAATTAGCTATTGCTGATGACATATCATGAATATTGATCATTTGATTTGATTAATTTTGATAAATATTAGGCTTTTTGCTAGTTACATATTACAATAAGGCTTTTAAATGGATATTTATTGATATGAGCTTATTTCAAAATGACAGTCTTTGATTTATCCACTAATAAGATTTGATGTCACAAAAATCTAGATTTTGGGGCATAAAAACCTAACACCAAATCATAACTTCTGTGCATATACTAAATTGAGTACAGAAATATGTTAATTTTCAGTATTTTTAGAAGAATTCTTATTATCCTTCAAAAAGTCAGTATTTCTGCTGTAATTTTCTACAACATTGTAGTTATTGCACTTTGTCTATGGATTTGTATATATGTTATATATAAATTATATATCTAAACTGCCCATAAGTGCAATTTTTATATAAATTGTTTATTTCTTTAACAATTTCATATGAAATATGCTTTTTTAAGCGTATCAAAGCTGTGTTCTTAATGTGCATGGATATATCAAGAAAAATGTCGAAAAAAAATGTGAATTCACAAATTCACTGAATTTTCACCGTTTTTTGAATTTTGCTACAGCACTAATATTAAATAATACTAAAATCTTCTGTCTTTGTAAAAGAATAAATTCTGACAAAAAGTGCTCGTTTAAATTTAATGATCATCTGTATGACTAAGTGGTAAAAAGTGTTTATGACCAAAAAAGGGTTACATGCTTAGTCTATTTTTCTGACAGGATACTCTAGATTTACATGATCTCTATTTCATATCTCCGTTTTTAGATTCTTCGACAGATTTTATGATAGAAAACCAAGATTAACAAATTTCCGGCATGTTAATGAAGAAATCTGCAGCTACCCTCAATATTATTTCAATAATCAGTATCGTTTCTCTTACAATTTATTTTTTTCTCAATAATTTAACAAGAAATAACAATACACACTTGGTTTTACGTATAAAAGCTAAGTGTCGAACTTAATCAACTTTACTTACTTAGCAAATGAATATTTTTGTGGTTGCGAGTTCTGAATGCTGAAGTTTTAGATTTCTCTATAAATGATATCATTGCACTTACAATGTTGTTCCAGCCTATCGCATAAATCATAGAAAATCCAAAAAAAAAATAATATAAAGAAAATTCATGTCATGAAGTTCAAAAAATACCGTGTAACATTAAAATTTGTTATGCATAATACATTTTAGCTATTATTGATTTTTTTTAATTTTCGAGAAATTGAATGGTGAGTCCGATAGAGAAATTTTTAAAAATCCTAGTCCCTCATAGAAGTAATTTCCCTCGTCTCCCATACTTCCAAATGTATGCATATGACATAAACTTTTATGCATTACACAAGTGGCCAATAATATCTATAGAGTAAAAAATTAGAAATTTAATTTTTTTATATGATAGTTATATTTCAGATTTGCGAGCGTAACTTTTTTCTCCATGGCATACTTGTTTTAAGAGCAAATGATCAAAATCGTCCTTCAATTATTGAAGGAGCTGATATCTTTTGAAAATTGAATTGAAAGGGTATTCAATTTTCAAATTTCCTCTCAATTTTGGAAACATATCAACTCTATGAATTAACAATTATGTGCCTTCACAGTTTATCAGTCATATAAGGTGCTTATAAAGAAAAAAGTTACGCTCGCAAAATATGTTTTTATATAGATTTCACATAAAATAATTATGTAATTTCTAAAAAGAATATTTTTGTTCTTGAATATTAAAGTGTATTGTAGTTTAAAAAGTTTTAAATATGTTGCTAAAATTTCATGTTTAGAGCTCATGTCTAGCATGACTTCTTCGTATGCGCAAAAAATCTGACACGTAAGGGTATCCTTAAAGAAAAGGTGTTACTACAACAATACAATTTGATCGAAAATTCATGCTTCAATACTCATTTCGTGGATAGCTAAAACACAAGTGTAGAATTTCGGATCATTCTATCAAAAATTTGATTGATTTAGATTAGAAAAATAATGCTTATCTATAGGATAACGTGGTAGATTAAGAGAAATTTAAAAAATCATCATTTTGAAAAGATATTACTTGACCAAATTGACGCTGGAGATAAAAACGACATCAGTTTGTCGATTTAGCTCATAGATGGATACTTGTTTACAGAAAGATAATGCCATTGATGAATTTTTATGCATAATTCAGAGAAAAAATAAACTCCTTTTCTTTTGTAAAGTTTCTTATTCAAATTTTTGATAGAGGTTCATTCAATATTGAGGCAGAAAAACGATAGGGAGACTTTACGTAGGAAAATGGGTTTAATCGGAAACTATTTCAAACTTAAAACTCATTTTTATTAGTCGGGTTATTATTACTGAACTATCCTGACTTTAAGTTATCAAAGAATTTGTTACTGAAGACAAAAAATATCATATTTTTTTCTGAATATAAAAACAAGTAAATTTATTATATATACAAACAAAATACATGGTAATTAAATACTAAATAAGCATATGTTTTGGAGTGATACAAGTTGTTTCATTCAAAGAATTTGGACATTCCTTTGTTGTAGGAATATTATTAAATACTGATATATCATAATGTCCTTTTTCTTCAAGAAACTCTTTAAATGCTCGGATGGTGTAAGAATCTTGAAAATCAGTAATTTTCCCTTCAACAACGCTTGGTTCCTTTGGCTGATTATGCACCACACGTTTAATCCTTGAAGATATTTTAAGTTGCGTTTTAGTTTTCATTGAATCTTGCATATCAATAGGAATTTCTGAAATTGTAAGCTCGTGGAGTTCTTTCTTCATTCTTTTAACATTACCTACTCTGGCATCACTCTTTGGATTTCTATCTACAACCATTGTAGTAACAAAAAGCTTGCCATTTTTGCTCATAAAATAAAATTAAAAAAAAACGTACATATAAATATACCATTGTAATGCTCTTTATCGACATTTTAAAAATAATTGGTATACCTGCTGAGAAATTCGATTTTGAGGGGATCAATTGATAAAGAGTAATAGAATACTTTTTGGTGTTCCTCTATACAAATGTGTTAATTGTAGCTGTTAATAAATAATAATAAATATTTATATCAACAGTTATAAAAGAAAATCGTATTGAAAAAGAGGTAGGGCAACGATAGAAAATTTTTGGAAAAAAAGTTCGGAGATCTTAAACGTATCATATTCCCTGCATGGTTTGGTATCTTCCGCCATGCGTTGTGCCAAACATATTGACACTTTCCAATAATTAATTTATGGTATGAGTCACAGAGTTAGATTATAAAAAGAAAGTAAATAATTGCAATTAGAAATCATATATGTCGGAAATCAAATGTTGATGAGCAGAAACCTTTTACTCATCATAAAAGAGATAAATCACTAAAGATTTGTATACATTAAAATTTGATATTTGGTGCTCGAAAACTGTCTGATGGGACTCCTCCAAAATGAACCAATCTATCGCTGAGGACCAAATTAGATGATGTGGATGGTGTATTCTCTAATTCTAACTTAGGAAGAATGGGAACAAAACGAATGACGACAACAACATGTCAAACATAGATTAAATATCTATGAATCAATAAAGTATACGTGCATTGAAGGTGATAACGATCACTTGAGGCTTATAACTCTTTGACTAAATTATGCAATAATTAAATATAATCATTTTTATATTTTTATACTGATAGTAATTAATATACTATCCTGCTTAATAAATGGTATGATCAAATTTGTTTGAAAATTTAATTATGTATATGAAACTATGTCTTCTATATAAAAATCAAAATTTTCTAACGAACCTAGATTGAACCTTTATGAAAATCTATCATTTTTGTTAATTGAGTTAATATGAATCTTTTACATATGTATATATAGCATTGATAGCTTATATAATCATGGTTTATTCCATATTAACATATTTTTTCAGTTAAATTTGTTAATAATATCATGTAACAAATTAATTCAAGATTAGAATGTCTACAAAATGCTAACAAATAAGAACAAAATACGATTTCTCGACTTAAATTTTAATATGGAGTAGTTTTTCGTTTAAATCTAATTAAAAATGAATAAAAACTTATCTTGTACTATTTTCATTCAAAGATTTTAATAATGTAAATCATGCATTTTCATAATTCAGTACAGTTCTTTTTAGAATTAAAGTTGATGAGGATGATATTTGTGATTTAAAATAATTTGTAATGTTCACCTTTTATTCATCACCTTGTGGTATGCCCTAAAGCAATAGCATTATCAATTCTGCTGAATTGATCAACTCAAAATTCCAAAAAAAATTCAAAATTTCAAAAATGAAATTAAACAATTTGAATTTTCACATGAAAAAATCAATTTCGAAAAAAATTTGGAAAATCAAAGTATTTGATAATTAGTCAAATAATCAATTTACATCGTTTTTACTCATAAAAAACAACTAATTTTTGATTTTGATATCATATTTGATAAATACTCATTCCAGAGTTGACGTAATGTATTAATTATTGTTAGAGATATTGCTTTCGCAGCAAAATTCTTATTTCATGAAAGAAAAAAAAAATGATTTTATTCCAACAAAAACAAGTAAACAGATGAATGGAAACGTACTATATTTTCATAAATGTAGTAATCAGCGTGTCGGCTTTTGTTTATCATGTTCGAGTCAAAATGTATTAACTTGTAATAAGAAATATTCGAAGATTATATGAAGTATTGAGCATTCTTTGTAGAAATATTTGTAATTCATTACTAACATATATAATAAAGTTGTTTTTTTTCCTTATTGCAATAATTTTGTCTGATTTTAATAACTTTTCATGTATACGAGTTGTGTGAATATGCATCATAATATGCGTAAATATACTTATTTGCGACGAATAATGTGGTTGCATAATGGAGGTGCTAAATTTTGATTTTTAATATGGGGCTTTGGTATGTATAATCATGTTCTTATCTCAACGTAGGAGTATTGGTGCAATATGATTAAAATTTACGAGGTTGATCTTAAATTGAATAATTCTGGAGTATAAATCACAATGCAGCTAATTCTATGTTAAAGATAGATACAGATTGTAGTAATCAATTAGGGAGTACAAATTCATTCTTTCATTTCTGTCGTATTGAGCAGAAAGGAAGAGATCATAACCCTAGGAAAAAAAGCCCAAATTTGTCACTTTTCATAGTACGTTAAACTCAATTCGCTCGGCGAATGCCGAGCACACGTACTCATCATTCAACATAATATTCTCATTCTTTGGTTATTATAGTGCCAGACAACACAAGATTTCAAAGAATTACTTGAGTTTTCAATTAATCTTAATCCGATTTTAGATTTATCGAGAACTCCATCATCACAATCACATACTTCAGTGCGGTAACTACAATTATCCATATACAGAAGGAAGTTCTTTTCGAACAACTCATTTGGAGTCTGTTTTGGAAAGAACTTCTTTCTGTCCGACTTAATTTCATAGTTCCTGATCAACCAAAAGACAGAAACCACACACTATCTACTTAGGAAAGGAGTTCTTTCTAAATCTTCCTTAAATTGAGATTTTACGAGAGATAACCCTTCTATTGCACTTAAAAATGAACATTTTGATATCTTTAGTATCACACATGGTCATATATAGTATTTCATCTACATGAATACATTCATCTTTCGAAGTCTCTCATTAAATGGGAGGCTTCGAAAGATGAATCGTTTTATTCATACAACTTTAAATCTCGAACACATTTAGAGAGTGAGTATATCATTTTATTCTTGTTTTGAGTTTATTCTGATTCAAAATTGCAGTGAAAACAGAAGTTCACACATCATATCTGAATGTGAGCTCATCTATACTTATACGATCTCAATACCTCCACTCTAAGCATAAGAGGTGAAGTTATATAAAAATTATCAGATGCGTTGAAGTCTCAAAAGTATTGCCTGAATGCTTGTTTCATATTTGTCCAAGTAGTTTCAATGAATAAATGTATTGTTTTTTATAATTTCGATTTATTTTTAGAAAATATTCAATATAAACCTTTATTGTGTTATTTACATCTCATAAATTCTCTGTCTAAATCATATAAAAGCGCGTTTTACCCCTATGAATCAAGAAATTCATTCAATATTCATGGTATATTTATTAAATTTATACGATTTACTAATAATCAATATTATATCCTCATAAATAGCAATATATTTTGGTAATCTATGATAATCATATACAATATTTGAAATCAAATTTTCATTAGTTTAGGTTCCTTGTTAATAGTAAACCATTATATTTATTACTAATAATAAAATCTATGTGTCGTATTGAAATTCAATAAAATTACTTATTCGGTCCAAAAAAACAAATTAGATAAAATTTTTCTTTTTTTATGTAATTTTTGTTTTTCATTTTTCTCAAGATCCTAAGTTATGTTCTAACTTTTGACATCATATCCTATCATGCTAGGCTATATATTATAGCATATCCAAAAGGCAAGGAAATCTATCAGAGAAGCCTTTTTGACCTATCGTTGCCCTACCTCTATTGAAAAAGGTCCATAGAATTTTTTCAAAGCAATCGCGATCATTTATATTCAAATCACTGGCCAGCAAATACTACTGTGTTTTATTCTATTTTCTAAATGACGTACTTGTTCGAAAAAAAAATCCTTAGATAGAAACAAAAGCACCGGAAATTTATTGTATGGGTTACCGAAATACGGTATCGTTTACGATAGTGTGTAATTTTTCTCCTATTCTTTCAACATATCCCATTTCATTTTTAGCTTTTCTCACAATGAATCACAAAAATTTCAAATTTCGGACTTTTCAATTTTTTAATGACTGACCAAGGCATTCATCCAAGCAAGTACAGAGAACTGCGAAGTACCTATAAATACCACATCGATACATTTATTGCATTGTATCAGTTAAAAACCAGAAATGACGAAGATTTGAACTCGATTTACAAAATGATCAAAACAGAATTGATTGAATCAAAGAGATTTCTCCCAAAAAATGTTATCGGTAATGTTTTGGATATCATTACATATAACAACCGTGAGACAAAGTCATACTTGAAACTTGCGAAATTCATCTCTGATGACTATCATGTAACCAGGGTACCTAATATTGCAGATGTTTCTAAATACCTGTTTTACAAAGAATATGGAATTCAATTAGATAATTTTGACGTTTACGATGAAAAGAACTTCGAAAACCTCGACATACATTCAGAAAACACAATTTACAGAGCAATTATGGATAATGACTTAGAAAAATTCATTTCATTCACAGAGAGAGATGAATTTGATAAAAATCAAACACTTGATAGCAAATTATATCCATATTCTGGAAAAGGATTTTCATTACTTGAATTATGTTGTTACCATGGAGCAGTTGATTGTTTCAAGTTATTAAGAACAAAATTTAACTCAGAAATAACTCAAAGATGCCTTCAATTATCATTTTTAGGAAGAAATCAAGAGATCATGAGTGAATGTTTGAAATATCAGACACCAGATGATGATTGCATGAAATATGCAATTATTTCACACAACATTGATTTTGTTACATTCTTGATGAATGAGTACAAATTAGGAATCGATTTAAAAATATGCGGAAATTACAATAATCTTGACTCATTTTTAGTTTATTTTGATCAAACTAATGATTTTAACAAATGTTTTGCTTATTCAGCGATGTTTAGTATTCCATCCCTTTGTGAATACTTCGTTTCACTCGGCGCAAATGCCAATGAAAAGAATGAAAATGAAGAAACTGCTCTCCATTATGCAGCAAAAAGCAATAATAAAGAAACAGCTGATCTTCTTATTTCCCACGGTGCAAAGATCAATGAACAGAATGAATTTGGGGATACTCCATTTCATTCTGCAGCAAAAAGTAATAGTAATGAAATAGCCGAAGTTCTTATTTCACATGGTGCTAATATCAATAGAACGAATAGATATAGGCAATTCCCTCTTATTAATGCAGCTGATAAAAATAGTAAAGAAACCGCCAAAGTTCTTATTTCACACGGTGCAAATATCAACGAAAAGAATGAAAGTGGAGAGACTCCTCTTTATATTGCAGCTGGGGGAAATTGTAAAGAATTAGTCGAAATTCTTATTTCGCATGGTGCAAATATCAATGAAAAAAAATAATATGGGAGAAACAGCTCTTCATCGTGCAACCCTTTCTGATAATGAAGAAACCGCTATTTTTCTTATTTTACAAGGTGCAAATGTCAATGAAAAAGATGAAGATGGACACAGTGCTCTTCATACTGCAGCACTTTATAATCATATAGACACCGTTAAACTCCTTATTTCGCATGGTGCAAACATCAACAAAAAAAATGAAATTGGAGAAACGGCTCTTCATAATGCAGTGGAAAACAATAGTAAAGAAACTATTGAATTTCTAATCTCACATGGTGCCAATGTCAATGAAAATGATGATGGAAGAACTGTTCTTCATATTGCAGCACTGCAAAATTATAAAGAAACAGCGGAATTTCTTATTTCACACGGAGTAAATATCAATGAAAAAGATAAATACGAACGCACAGCTCTTCATTATGCAGTAATAAATAATAATATAGAAACCGCCGAAGTTCTTATTTCACACGGTGCAAATATCAATGAAAAGAATGCTGATGGAGAAACTCTTCTTCATATTGCAAGCACTAGTAATTATAAAGAAATTATACAACATCTTATTTCACATGGTGCAAATTCCGTTTAAATTCAGCAATTTCTTTGATTTTCATGTCAATTGACAGCTAAAAATTTTAAATTTTAAACTAGGAAATGATTTTTATTTATTTATTTATTTTCTGATTTATCTGTTTCAAAGTAAAAATACAGGGATTGCTATTTTGAACTCAGATGAGTTATTAAATTGGGTATTTTCAAGTTTCACATTGCTGAAAGAGTGAGTTGATGACTGGTGTGCCTGTTGGTGTTCGTGGAGCTTTAAGGAGGAAGGAAAGAACTGAGTAGACAGCGTTCATGTGATGGAATTCCTTCATTGTCTCATCTTTGAGTTCAACACGTGTGAATAGTTCCATGAGGATGATGAGGTCGAGCATCAAAGGAGCAGCAAGAAGTGAATCTTCGCATGTGTTGTGAACAGAGATGATGTTCTTGCCACCACAGAAGATGTCCGAATCATACTCATCTAGAGCACGCTTTGAATCACCAACAGATGGAACATACTTGATGACAACAACATGATCTGGATGTTCTCCATTTGGATATAATATTGGATTGTATCCAGCCATATCATCAATGACAGAAGACTTTGAGATCTGCTTTGAACGGAAGCACTTCTCAAAATATATTCCGATAATGTAAATAGTATTAACAAGTTACACAACATAATTGCATATCTTTCCATTTTTTAGCATAAACTTTCTTGCATAATCTGGAGCTTGGACTTTATGCCTAAAGATCTCAAGAAAAAAAAATTATTGAAAAAAATTAGATTGTATTGATTTACAGTTAAATATATCTAAAAACTTAATGTTGGTTGTTGTTATTGTTATTATTATTGTTGTTGTCATTTGAGCGAGATTTGTTAAGGGCTTCGACAACCTTAACAGCAAGACTCTTCTTGATATCATTCTCCATGTTCGCGCCAACTTCTGTGCCTCTATAATACTTCCAGATTCCGAGAACGAGTCTTCCATGATTTGCGCACGTCAAACCAAGGGCTGCTGTTGTCAAGATTCCAAGTATGCCAATAAACCAATGTCCGTTGAAGAACAAATTGAGCATTGTAATTAAACCAACGCTTCCACTGCTATCAAGGCCAATTGCAAGGATAAATTCGAATAGTGTTGCAGCGGAGAGGCAAATAAGAACTTTAAGGAATGCAAATGTTGATGGTTCAATTTTCATGACTCGATAAACAGCGAGACCTGTAAGATCTAATGATAATGGGACAACAACAAACAAATATAATGTAGATAATATGATTTTCGTACCTGGTGAGCCAACAGAATCACCGGCATTTAATAAACAAACGCAAGAAAGCCAATTTAAGGCAAATGCGATGCACATTAAGCACCATCCGAACATTGCTTCATTTACAAAGCTGCGTAAGCCCGGAGGGACTTCTTCAATATCGAAATGAACTAATGGATAAAAAGCAGGCCAATTTGGCGGATTTCCAACGAATCCTGTTTCTTGTGCCACTGCTAGTTGAGTTACTTGCGCGTTTATACGTGATTCTAGAATGTTAAGGCGCTTTTCGTATTCTCTAATTGCGATATCATCTTCATCTTCTTGTGTATTTGATGTAGATGGTGCAGGAACTGGAGCTGGTTTTGGTTTTGTTTCTGGATCCTGAACATCATCAAAAGGTGAATAATTATCTAATGGATTATCTCCCATTATGAAAAAAATTTTTTTTGTCTTTTCATAAACGAAAATTTTGTGAACATTCCGATTATATTAATTTGACTTTACAAATAAAAATTTTGACAATTATGTCAATTATTTTAAAACAATCGCATCTTAATCTTTGTCTTTACGAATATGGATATCAGATGAGACACAAATTTCATATCAGCTAATAACATATAAGTTTTATAACAAATTTGATTCTAAAAATGAAGAGTATGAGTTTCATCCGGACATTTCCAATCAATATTACAAATACATCATTCATAAACTCTTAGTTAAAAATAGCTTAGCTCAGACACAGTTCATTAATTGAAAACGTATTAGGTTCAGCTAAAATATATTGATTATAGAATTTAAATGATCAAGCATATGTTCCTATGTTCAAAATATATTTGGTTATTAAGGAATTATATGGTTTAAAGCCGGATAGCCTTTGATTTTGTCCAGTTTTTGTTGATATTTTCTGTTACAAAGTCGTTAAGAACTTTACACGAACGATAACAGAAATCAGAATGTCTGAGCATCGCCACCGCTCTCGCCAAACAGCAGCATCCCTTGGTCTTTCAAAAGATCAGTATACTGAGATTGAGGAAGCCTTTAATATCTTCGATGCTGACCAAAGTGGATCTATCGATGAAAAGGAATTGCAGACAGCTTTCAGAGCAATGGGCTTCACAGTTTCAGAAAAGGAGATCGAAGAAATCATGAGAAATTATGATACAAAGGGCAAGCATGCTCTTGATAAGAAAGATTTCTTCACAGTTTGCTCAAACCTTGTTGCCAAGCGCGATCCACTTAAGCACATCAAGAGATTATTCCTTCTCTTCAGCCAGGATCACGAATACATCAAGATCAAGGATCTCAGAAGAATTGCCAAGGAACTTGGAGAAGAAATGACCGAAGCAGAATTACAAGAAATGATTGATCGTTTCGATACCGATAAGGATGGAATGATTAGCGAAGCCGAATTTATCTCAATCATGGATCCTGCTAAGAAGTACGGAAAATAAACCATAATTGTATATTTACTATATTTAGTTCATTTTTCTTAACTTAAACTTTCATTGAACTTATTGGAATTCCATGATTTTTTTGATAGCGTTTGATTTTTCATATTTAGACTTAATCTATATAATGACTTGAAATGGAAAGGCTTACATATTATATGTTCAAAGTTATTAATGTGTTTAAAAGAAAAAAAGTAATCAGTGAAATATTCCATCAAAAGCATAGATTGATGCCATTTTAGAGATGCATTTTGCATGTCCGGCAAATTCTGTTGTGTAAGGACTATCAATTCTTCTAATATGATAAATAGCAGATCATAATTATGCGGTTCTAACTAAGCAAAATCTTAAGTCTCAATTTTTTCAAAACAAAACGACAAATTCTTTAGAATTTCGTATTTTTTGAAAATTAACCTTATATTGTAATCAATGATTGATCGATTATACCGAATTAGCCGAGTGATACCGATCACGAATTGAATTGTTACGAAAAAAAAATTATAAATTTTCATGACACAGTTACATGTAAGGGTTATCGAAGCAAAAGAGCTTCCTAAGATGGATACTTTCGGAAAATGTGATTGCTTTGCTATCCTTCAATTAAATACTTCTCGCAATATTCAGAAAACTCGTGTAATTCCAGGAACATACACTCCAGTCTGGAATGAAGATTTTCATTTTCCTTTAGAAGATATAACTATTGATACTCTTACCGTGTTCTTAAAGGATGATGACAAAGGCAGTTCTGATGATCCGATCAGTTTAATTAAAATCCCAGTAAGTCAATTTCCGGCTGGCGATGTAGTTGATAAATGGTATTCGTTGACACCAGTCAAAGGCGTTAAAAAAGGAGGTCAGGTCAGACTAAAAATCCAAATCGCCCCACTCGGAGCTCCTCCGTTCGTACCGATACAGAATGGAGCGCCATCATCCGCACCACAACCAGCATCTCCTCTTCCAAGTACTATTAAAGTAGATGCAACAACAAATGCTTCACAGCCTGTAATTAACGCACCTCCTCCAGCTCAAACGCCACCACAACAGCCAGCAAATACGAATACGTATTCACAACAGCCACAAAATTTCCAGCAAAATCTTCAACAGCAACCTGACCTCAGCAAATACCAAACACAACCACAGCAACCAGCTTACAATCAATGTCCGCAGCAAATGCCGCCACAACAAAATCCACAATATCAATATCCTCCTCAGCAGCCAGGAATGTATCCACAACAGCCACAAATGCAATACCCTCAACAAACTATGCAATACCAGCAAAATCCAATGGCAGTTGCCCAACCTCCAACTGGAATGTATCCACAACAACAGCTAGGATACCAATACCCACAGCAACAAGCTGGTTATCCACCACAACAACCATTGCAATACCCACAGCAGCCAGGATATCAATATCCGCCACAACAAGCTGGATATCCTCAACAACCAGGCATGTATCCACCACAACAAGGTTATCAGTACCCTCAAAATGGATATCCTCAGCAAGGATATCAATATCAACAAACTTATTAAAAATTATTTTATCACTTTCTTGTAAAACAACAAAAATACAATATTTATGTTTTTGATAGATAAGAAAAAAATAACAGAATAGTTTAATATATATAATAAAAAGAAAAAAAAATAAAAACAAAATTATTTTTGTTCAGGATCTTGAGGATTTTCTTGGGCAGGTGTTTCTTCTTGATTAGGAGCCTTTTGGGAATTAATCATATCCATGAATGACTTATAATGAGGATCATTTTCTGAAGAATCAAATCCTGTAAATAATTTGTATTTGTATTGGGAAGGATTCATTCCAAACACGCGTAAACAGAGTCTGCAAGCACGAGAAATCCATTCATTGGTCCTTCTTCCGTTGTGGCCGCCTGTAAGTATAACAAATTCTTTTTTACTTCCATTATAAGCCTCAAAGACAGCTTGCCCTTGGGCAAATGGAACGAATTCGTCGTCAGTTGCATGCCCCATGATCATTGGAACATCCATGCCCTTCTTGGCCGCTTCAAGAGGAACAACGTCGTAAATATCGAATTTTGCCAAGTTATTAATGCAACTTCTGAGATACCATATAGCTGGGCCGATGACCAAGCCTGGGACTCCCATTGAAGAAGCAATTGCATAACTGACATCGTAAATCGAAGTAAAAGTTGAATCTACGACTCGACCAACTAAGTTTGGATGATTTGTAAGTATGGCTGTTGCTGCACCCATTGAGCGTCCCCAAAGAACAAACTTTGTAAATCTGTAGGATGACATTAAATTTTGTAAAATCATTTCGACATCGCGCTGTTCATAATAGCCAAGAGAAATGTATTCTCCACTGCTATTACCGCATCCGGCAAAATCGAAACAGTAAACTGCAATACCGTATGGGCATAAATTAGGAACAAGAAATTGACCTTCCATTTGAGAAGAAGCATTGCCATGTAGGTATAAAACACACGGAATTCCTCCCATTGGGTCGATACCTTCCATGAAATACAACGAACCCACAATTTTTTCCTTGTTTTGATTTCGAAAATTAATCGGATGGCGTGAAAAATACAAATTGTTGGATGCAATCTTGAGTGGCAAATCAGAGATGTCATACTCACGGCGAGGAGGCCTAATTATGGCTCCAATGGCCTTTTCTTTGATCTCAGAAATGCTCATATTCATCTTTCTATGATTGACGCTTTTTTTTCTACATGCCAATTCAAAAATTTGCGCGAAATTATAAATTGATTTGTGATGCTTATCTGAATTAAGAAATATTCGTTTTAATTTTACAGTCAGTCAAACGCCAAAAAAATTCTGTCATTATAAATTTTCTTTTTAATATCTATAATATCCAGCTTACAAATGGCTGTAAAATCTATCTGATTTAAGTTTTTTGGCAAATCAATTTAATCGAAGCTTAAAAATTAAGGAGTTCAGGCCTGAATTACAGGAAATGTAATCTATATATGCAATAATGCACAATTTCCATTCAATTATAGCTTAGCCGAAACATTCGATATTTCGGATACAATTTAAAGTTTTATTGGAGGAATCCTTTATTTATATGTTAAGAACTCTAATGTTTTGTCAAACTTATAATGAAGAGCTTGTTTTTTCACTGAAAAATTTAAAATTTTGCATTAATTTATAAATTTATTAAAACTACTCTATAGATTAAATTTAATCATCATCTTCAGTTTCAGTTGGATTTTGAGGCATTGGGAAGACCCCATCTCTATTTATGTATTCAATCATTTTATCGAGATCTTCTAAGTGTGTAAATGGTTCGTAATCAGGAGATCTTGTAATATGACGATATTTGCCAAGCATTGTATTGACAGACCATCTGTATTCGTGGCGATCAGAACATCCGTATTGCTTTGCGATTTCTAAGTAACGACGAGCGAGTTTTACTGGATCTGTTTCAGGATGGCCTGAGAAAATGGTTGGATTCTTTAATGCGGCTGATGAAATGATAACAGACTCACATCCGGTCTTTTCCATCATTTCCTTGGCCATTTCTCTGTTTTTAACGCCACCGTTTCCTATTTTTGCAACGTGTAAATGGTCGAATACAAGTTTCATGTTATCGTAAGCGACAGAGCCTTTATTCTTTTGTTCCTTTAGTCTGCCATGAACGGCGATTGCTGAAGCACCTGCATTTTCGCATGCAACTGCAAATTGGATTGATTCTTCGATATTATGATGAATACGATGTTTAACTGAAATTGGTACATTGTAATTGCGTCTAAGTGCTGAAACAACATCAGCAACGATCTCTGGTTCGCTCATAAGAGAGCTTCCTGTTCCACGAGATGTAGCAAAACTTTCTGGGCATCCGCAGTTGAGATCAATAGCATCAGCAAACTTTACAACTACTGAAGCTGCTTGTACTGCCTTGGATGCATCATTTGTAAGAATTTGGAAAATTAATTTTCCTTTTTCTTTTGGATCAGTATGGAAATGTACATGTGGATTCTTTGGCCAGCCGAAGTACATTGTATACGGGTCTTCATTTTCATCATAATGACTTGCAAGAATTGAATCTACACTCGTGGCTGGTCCGTAAACGCCATCTGCGCCATTTTCAAGGCACATCAATCTAAATGGAAGATTTGATGCGCGAACCATTGGACCAGCAAATATCTTTCCTCTATAAAAATCACTCGGATCTCCAAGCATTTTAATTTTTTTGTTCCCTTGGCAAAATTTTCATTTCAAAAAATTATTTACGTGGCAAAAATTTTATTACAAACAATTAATAAAAATGTTGAGACAAAGGACGGATTTTTAAACTAACAGAGAAAGTCCCTGAGGAGAGTAATCAAAGCGAGAGACTAGCTTCAAGTAAATCCAGTTTAAGGAGTCTCTCTCTGCCCTTTTGAAATACAGAAGTTTTAGATGTCCATGGATAAGGATGATGACAATGAGGATGTCCACGATGGCGAAGATGGTGAATATTATGGAAATTTAATATAATTTTTGCTCATGACATTATATTAACTTAATTAATTATCATTATCATTATGGTTTCCTAGTGAATACAGGAATCTTTGTAGAATTTATTGTTATAAATTTATGGGCATTCTACTACAAATATTTTTAATGATCTTCAAATTTACAAATGATTATCGAATATTAAAGTGGGATTGATGTAGAAATAGATTATGAAAAACTGTTAATGTTTATTAAAGAAATGAAGAAAAGAGAAAGTTTATTAACTTTAAAAATACTTTTATTGATAATTGCAAATTCTGCTTGGCAATTACCAGTTGAAAAATGAATCAATTTGTTAGTAAATAGTTCTCTTGTATTTTTAGGTTTTACATTTCTAAAAAATGTTGTTGAAATCGAATTGTCAATGTAACAACTATCAACTGTTAATTGATCATCATAGTTATATATCAAATATTTACCTTGAGGAGCAGTGTTGTTAATAAAAGAACAATTTTTTACAGTAAGAGAATTTATGGAATGGTAAATAATTCCTAATCTTGATTGGTTATTAGTATTATTTATAATATTACATGAATCAATCAAAGAGTTATAACTAAAATATATATGATCATATTGACCTGTTACTAAATTATTAACAACAGTTGAATAATTAAATGTTGTTATAAAGTCATTCTCTGAAGATTTTTCAAAATATCCAACAGGATCTTCTTTAGCTTTATTTGATGAGAAATTTGTTGATGAAACTATGATATTTCCATCTTTTGCTTCAACTACTCTTCCATCAACATCTTCTTTTGCTACATCGAAAAGGGAACTTTCGATAATAAAGTTTAAGTTATTTTTATCAACTTTTGTAGATGAAAATTGGCCATATTTCTGGCTTTCGCATTTCGTACAACAGAATCTTCGTTGAACAATTGAACTATTGCTGCCAATTTGGTAGTAAATGCAACTTCCATCTTCTGTTGAAGTGCAATTACTAAAAGAGCAGCGATTATGTAGAAACAATGAGCTTGTGATAGGGCTAAAGTTGATAACTCGGTTATTATCTCGAAAAAAATTACATTCGTCTAAGTAGTATTGATTTTTTCCTGCTGTTAGATCACAGTTTATGCACGATTTGGTTTTATCATTTGCAAACTGGCTATTAAAGTAGAAGTTCCATAGAATGTCATCTTCTGAAGATGACTTTCTATGGAATTTTTCCAATTGAACATAACCGTTTTTCCATCATGTAAACCTCGATGTCACTTTTGCGGCCGAGCGGAGCGAGGCCGCAAAAGTGACATCGAGGTTTACATGGATGGGTTCTATAGATATACAGCTTGACCGGTAGAAAAGCGGATCGATTTTTATCAATAATTGGACATTCTATTTTTAATAAAATAAACATATATTTATATGGGAAATTAGGAAGATCTGAAACTCAAAAATTATTTTTGAATTTTAATATGATGAATGTAATTGTGATAATATGTACATTACAAATAAAATATTAATTCGGAACAACGATGAGATGTGATAAATTTGATTCTCTCAAAAATCGATTTTGGAGTTTTAATATTAATTTGTATCTTATATGCATATAGGATATATAATAATTTTAAAACATCAAAAAGTGACAATTTGCGGTTAGAAAAAGTCATCAAAACACTTTTTAATGATTTGATGTAACATATTCATAGACCATCTCTTTGATATTTAACTTCAATTTCCCGAAATGAAAAGGATTTGAACAAAAACGATTATTTTACGATCATTTTTTGTAAATTTTTTAAATTGAGACTGACATCTCTAAAATCATCTAAAAAATCCAAATATCAAATAAAATAATATCATTAAAATTCCTCTCAATTTAAAAAATTTTTATAAATTGAGACTTCAATCTCTAAAATCTTCTAAAAAATCCATATATCACAAAAAATCACGATATTATTTTTATTCTCAATTTCAAAAATTTTTTTGTACTGACTTTCTTTTTGCATAACAGCAAGGCAGAAATTTGAAACGAAGTTTCAAATTTCTCAATCTTGCATTCTGGGCACTTACGTGCCCAGAATGCTAAAAGGCGCGTAGCGCCGTCTCTGAATATCAAATTTATTATAATTATTAATTTATGAAATTTCAAATAAAATCGATCTGTTATAACACACTGGTGCATGACAGCCTTGTCAGCTTATATCGGCGCACAGCAAAGCTGCGCGCCGATAGAACGCGCTATATATAATACGAACTTGCTGCACTTTTTTCGCCGTCTTTAATTAAATCAAATTAGCTATCTAAATTTCATATTTTCGTGACTTATTTTTGACCATTTTCGGTTGCAATTTTTAATCGTTTTTAAACTAATATCATATATCAATTTTAGTTATATTGTACTGTGGATTGATCCATTTAAATCGCCGAAAATTCAATGATCAAATAATTTCAATAATAAATCATGTTCAAAATTCGATTCTAAGCAGTTAATTTTATTCTTTATCCTATGAGATATCATGTTCAAAATATATGAATTAATTTCATAAATCACTTCGAAATGCTGGACTGCTTGTCTAATTAACTCAAAAAAATTTGCAATTCTCCATTCCAGGCTGGAATTTCCAGCAGACCAAAACAATGACGAGAATAAATATAAAAAAGTATTGGTTAGATGTAAAATTATTTCAAATTAAATCATGTGATAAGTTATTTATTGCTTAAGGATTTCGAGGAGCTCGATTTCGAAAATCAATGTAGCGCCGCCTGGGATTGGTCCGGTGCCGTACTCTCCGTAGCCGTATTCTGAGTCAATAACGAAGCGGGACTTTTCACCAACCTTCATTGAAGCGACACCCTCACTCCAGCCCTTGATGACACCTTGGCCGATTGTGAATTCGAATGGCTGATTTCTCTTAACTGAGGAATCGAACTCTTCGCCGTTTGTAAGTGTTCCTGTGTAGTGTACTCTAACGTGATCACCCTTCTTGGCTTGCTGGCCCTTACCTTCTGTGATAATATCCTTTGTAACTTTGCCATCCTTTGTAACCTTGACAGCACCTGGTTTAGCTGGTGGAAGGCTTGACTTTGTTTCTTGACGAGCTCTTCTCTGATCTTCAATTGTCTTTCTGCGGTTAGCAGCTTGGCTGTTATCTCCGCCGAGATAGAGAACTAAGCCAACAAAGACGCAAATGGAGAAGACACTAAAACCAAGTGCAAATCCATACTTCTGAAGGCATGATTTCTTTACTTTCTTTGGTGCCCTGCGAATTGGCATTTTCAAGTGATGTGACCAAATAACCACCCTGATTATCGCGAATTTTTATTTAAAGAAAATACTGCTGTGCTTACAAACACATCAACCATCATATTTCAAATGAAATGAAAATGATCCATAAATGGCACTTCATTTCAATATGTTTGTTTTTTATTTCAATAAAGCCCTCAGTGTTTCACTGCCAAATTAAAAAAGCATAAAAAAATTATGATAATTAAATAAAACAAATAAAACAAAATAATTTACAAAAAAATCACTCAGCATACATTTGTTACTTACACGCCAGTGAGGAAAAATCCACCTGGTGAAACCCCAAACCTATCTGAAGATGAGTTAAGAGGTTTTGCTGGTGACATACTCTCAAGATCTATTGAGTCATTTGTTGAATCTTGAGATTGATTTCCAAAATTAAAATCTGGAGCTTCTTCATCAGTTATCTTGGAATCATTCTGATTAGGGAAATCAGAAGAAACTCCAACACTGAATGGTTCTTCATGGAATTCTTCTTCTTCAGGATCATCCATAAATATATCTTCCTCTTCGCCATCTTCTTCTTCAACAAATTTTTCATTTCCATCTCTTTCATTTTTGCTGGTCAAATAGTCATCCGAATGTAAAGATTCTTCGTCATCATCAACTATTTCTCCTTCTTCTTCGCCATTGTTTTTGTCGGTATGATGATCATCATCATGTATTTCGCCTTCTTCTTCGTCATTTTCATTATGTTCTGGATTATTTTCTTCTATTTTCTCTTCCTCTTCTTCGTTTATTTGCTCTTCCTCTTCATATTCTATATCTTGCTGCTCATTATTTGTGTTTACAGGAGTTTGAGATTGTGTTTCATTGATTTTAGAAGTATTAGGCTTATTTGATTCATTTTCTGCATCACTTGCACCTGAAGAAGCAGAAGGAGTTGGTCTGAAATCAGGACTATAGTAACTGTAAGTGTAATCTTGAGGTGTTCCTTGTGGTGTTTGCTGTTTATCATCATCGGGTGTTGCTGCATCAGAAGAAGTGAAATTGAATGCAGGAGATTTATCCCCATCAGAACTCTTCTTTTGTGGAGAAACTTCGACTTCTTGAACAGGACTATGAGAAGTAATGTTATCATCATTATCTGTGTCATTCATTATCGCGCTGTTTTTCTCTGGAACAGAATCTTCATCGTAATCTTCTTGTGGAGGCTGTTGTTGTTGAGGTAATGAAGAAGGAATAGATATATTTTCATTGGATGAGAAAACAAAATTAGGTCCATCTGATTTCGACGAAATAGAAATGTTTTCATTAGAAGTTGACGTGAAAACAAATTTAGGTTCCGAATTCTTTGGAAGATTATCATTTGTATCTGAACTCTTTTTAGAAGATTGCATTTGATCATCACTAAATATGAATGGAACTTCATCATCCTCTTCTTCAAACAAATCTTCTTCTTCCTGAAGTTGTTGTTGTTGTTCATTATTTTCTTCTTCCTCTTCTTCTTCAGTAAAATCAAATCCGAGGAAAGATTCTTCTTCATTTTCTTCACTGTACTCATCTTCATCAATTCTATAAGGAACAAATTCTTTGCTTTCTGATTCTGGTTCCAAACTTAATGTATTGTGTTGTTCAAGTAGATCAACTTTTTCGGTTTTATTTGATATTGTTCCTTGTGGAGTTCTGTTGAAAGAGCTGCTTGTTGTTAAAACAGATTGGAATCTACTTCTTGGAGATGAATTAAGAGATTGATATTTAGCGGATGATGGAGGAGTTTCTGTTTGATAACTTTCTTCTTCATATCCATTTGATGGTTTTCCTTTTGATTTTATTGGAGAACCACTGTTTATTAGATCGAATTCACTTAGTTTAAGTTCTTCTTCAACAGAATTGTTGATTTCTTCAAGAGATGATCCACTTCCATACATCTCCATAATTCTTGAAATACTTGGTGCTGATAACATGATATCTGAAATCATCTCTGAAGACTGTTTGTCTGATGATTGTTTTCCTGATGAAGTAGATTTCTGTGTTTCTGTTGATTTTCTCTGAACAGTTGGTTTTGGTTGTGTTTGGATTGCAGCATTTTGTTTTGGAATGATTGTTTGTGATTGGTTCTTTGACATCTCGAGTTTAGGCTTCTCTCTGTTTGTTGTTGATAATATGTAGTTTGGAGATCTGTTGTTACTCATCTTTGACATCTCTTCTGATGGTTCAATTCCAATAACAATTTCATCATTGTTAATTGTTGAAAATTCTGGTTTTTGTGTTGGTGTTTTTGGTGGAGATGAAGGTTCTTCATGGATAATTTGGACAATTTTAATGTTAGGAGGTAATGCACTCTCTGAATTGTTATCAATTTCGATGTTAACTGCATTATGTTCAACCAATTCACCAAGTAAATCATCATTTGAATCATGATCTTCAATGAAAACATCATTATCTTGTTTCTTGTTATCTTCAACTGGGTTTGTTGCTTGATCTCTTGTCTGTTTTTGCTTGGTATCTGATTTCTTTGGAATTGGTTTGCGTTTTGGCATTTTAACATGTGGTTTTTGAGATGCCTTTTGTTTGGGTTTAGGAGCTTCTGGTGGTCCAAGATGATTTACAGCAACAGTTGTAAATGCGTCCGAAATTGCTTCTGTAAAATTCACAGCGAAGTTTTCTGATATTTGATTTCTGTATTGGAGAGAGCAATGACGAATCTTCCTGGCAGATCGAACAATTTCTTTTCTTGTTTCCCGCTGAATTAATCTTTGGAAAGGAAGTTCCATAGTATCCACAACATGCATTGCACGTCGTGGAATTATTACATATTGGAAGAATCTTTTCAGACGTTCCATTGCGAAGAATTCTTGAACACCGCGGATTCTATAATTGAATCTAAGAAGATAAGAAGAGTAACACCTCCAAACTGATTGTATTTGATCTGGATTTTGGAATTTGAGGCTCTTCCACTTATCATATTCTGATTTAATGTGATTTACATTGTTTTGGAAATATAATTTTGGAACAAGTTTGCTCCATGACAAAAATGCAGCATCAAGTTTATCTTTTTCATTATGAAGTTCTTGAATTTGATCATTTTGTACTAATTTAGCTGCCCAAAGACAAAATCTTTCTTGACGTTCAATTTTTTCTCGTTTTCTTTGAACAACAAGTTTAGCTTGTTCTTGTATAAGCGTATTGTATTTTGTTTGCTTTGTAAATCTCTTAGCAAAAGAAATCCAATCTTCTCGATATTTTGATTGCGTTGGTGATTCAATTTCTGTTTCTTCTTCATTGTTTGATTTAGTTATGTCATCTCGAAATCCACTAGATGTTTGACTGATGATTTCTTGAGGTGAAATCTTAGTATTTCGTTTCTTTGGTGCCTTTCTGCGTTTTCCTTTTTGCTCATCTAATTTGCGTTTACCTTTTAGAAGTCTTTTCCTGATTTTGTCGTATAGAAGTCTATTTGCATATGATTTCCATGTTTGTAAAGATTTTTCTCTAGTATTTCGTATTTCTGAGGTATTGTATGATTCATCTGATAAATGTATAATGTCTTGTGTAGCAACATCTACTCTTTTCTGATCATTTTTACCCTTTTTGTCTAAATTAATTTCAATTTGTCGTATTTGTGCTCTTGTATTATAAAACCAATATGAAATCTCAAAGGAATTTTTATCTGGAATAATGAATGTGTCGAAGAAAGAAGACGTCGAGTCTTCTTCCTTCTTCTTCATCCAGATTTATTAGATTTTAGAAAAAAAGTACGTTTAAAAATTCACAAAATCTAAACTAAACACCAGAACTTTATTGTTGTATTATTATTTCTGCATGGTAAAAGTGGCAAATGACTATTCTAATTGTCTAACAATTCAGTGATTAATGAAATTATTTTCATTTCAGAGTAGAACTAGTATGTATATATGGAATAGTGAAAAAAATGACAAAGAATGATATTTGATTCTGCTTCAAACCTAATAGTATCTGTCAATAGCTTTATATTGAAAGATATTCTATTCTAAAGTAATAAAAATAATTATCAGTGGTGCATTCATTATATTTTAGCATTGTTTTGATTGTATATAAAAATAACAGCTTTATTTAGAAAATAAAAAATAAAATATCATGGAATAGTGAATATATCATTTTGATATGCATGAAGAGCAAAAAAGTAATGTATGCAATAACATAGAAATGGTAATAAGATGTAAATTAAACTGGAGGTGGTTGTATTCTGTGAACTTTTGGTTGTTTGTTGATTTTTTTGACTTCTGCGCGATCTTTTTCTGTATCTTCTTGAGAGACAAGTTGTTCTAGTTGTTGACGAAGTTTAATTAAATTATCTGCAGACATTGGAATTCCTGGTTTGATTTTTGGTATATGTCCAAGTGCTAAGCTCTGAATAACCAAATTATTAACAAGTTTCCTTAAATAGTTAACTCGTTCTTGAAGAGGATCTGATTCTTCCATTTTGTCACTTTTATTTACAAAATTAATATGAAAGATATAATGTACACCAAATCTGTGAATGTTCTTAAGGATTTTGTTTGGACTCCTGGAAAATATCATGTTGCCAACTCAGAATGTAACGAAAAAAATAATTAAATTCATAAAAATTTATCATGAGTGTTTAGTTTTTAAGAAAGTAATAAAGGAAAGAGAAGGTTTATTAATCTTTCTAATACTCTTTTTGATAACTGCAAATTCTGCTTGACAATTACCAAATGAGGGATGAGTCAAATTGTTAGTAAATAGATATCTTGAATTTTTGAGTTCTGCACCACCACAATATGTATGTGAAATCGTTTTGTCAATATAAGAACTATCAATTATTAATTTTGCGCTGTTATATATCAAATAAGCATTACTAGGAGCACTGTTGTTAATAAAAGAACAACCTTTTACAGTGAGAACATCAGAACCTTGGTAAATAATTCCGCCCGTCTTTGAAATTTTATTTCTTATAATATTGCATGAATCAATCAACGCGTTATATTTAAAATATATAATATCATAAAAACTTGTTGCTAAATTATTAACAACAGTTGAATAATGAAATTTTGTAATGATATTATCGGTCATTATTGTAAAATATCCTGCAGAATCACTCGTAGCTGTATTTGATGAGAAATTCGTTGATGATACTACAATATGACCACCATCAGCATAAATTGCAGATTCACCGACACTTTCATTTCCTACATCGAAAAGGGAACCCTCGATAAAATAGTTTAATTTATCTTCATCAACATATGTATATGAAAAATGCCCTTTGTTAGTGCTCTGGCATTTTGTACAACAGAATTTTCGTTGAACGATTGAACTATTTTCCCCAATTTTGTACAAAATGCAATTTCCGTCTTCTTTTGAAGTGCATTGACTAAATGAGCAGCGATTATGTAGAAATTGGACATTGAATATTGGATAAAAATTGATGGTGTGATCATTGTCTTTGTAAAAATTGCACTCGTCTAAGTAATATTGATTTTTTCCTGCTGTTAGATTGCAGTTTTGGCAATGTTTGGTTTGATTACCAGAAAATTGATTTAGAAAGTATGTATTCCAAGGATCGTCATCTTCCTTGGATGACTTCCGCCCATATTTTTCCAATTGTCAAAAATGTTTTATTAATTGAATGAATTTTTTATATTTAATATTTACTCTCAGATGTGTATCAACTAAAAATTTTAAGCTGTTTAGCCACTCTTGCTTTTTTATCTTACTCAATTTTGCCTGGCATTTGACGCGGCAAAACAGAAAAGTGCAAAAATTTATTGTTCCAATTCTACGCTAGCAAAACCATTTCATCTGAGTTTATTTGATTCGAACTGTGCTTATAATCCTTTTGCAATGAACTTTTTTGAACTTTCCCCGAGACATATCGCTGTTGGTGATTCTGGTGTTATGAGGGATATATCCCTCGATCAAACTGCTCTCATAGACGTGGAAATTGATAAAAAATTGAAAATTTGAAAATCTGTTCAATTTTTTTCTAGATTTTACATATTATTCCCTCGTTTTCACTGAAAATATGGAATATTAAAGGATAAGAAATCGATAAATGCATTTTATTTTTCTATATTAATCAAGAAATCATTTCATTTTTATTTGTAAATCAAAGATATAAAATTTAAAATAATTCTTGTTTCCAAAGTTCATTTTTTATACTCACTCATACATTTGAAAGCAAATAGAATACTAACAATATCTTTTAACAAAAGTAAATTTTATTGTATTGATAAAAAAACTTTACAAGAATTAATGAAAGCAATTGAAACTCAAATTTATTTTAAAAAAAGCATAAAGAAGTTGTATAAATATATAAGATAACTTAAGAAGACAAACCGAGAAGAGCAGAAACTCTCTGGAAAACTGGATCTTCTTCTGGTTTGTATGAGTGATCCTTACTAGGAACTTCAATGATAGCTGGTAATGGCTTGTTGAATTCTGTGATTAAATGACGAATTTCATTTGCGATATGCTGGTTGATGAAAAGAATAGCAACATCGTCTCTATCTGTGAATGTCTTGAAAGCTTTTTCTATTTCTTCCTGTGTTGTCTTTGGACGAACTAAAAGGAAGTTGCATGTCTTATCTGTTTCCATTTGACCAATACCGGTAAGAAGGAAACCAGTAACTGTATCTTCATCACCAATTACTGCCATGTAATATCCGGTTTCAATCGGGCGAACGTGGCGGAAACTCATTGAACCAAACTAATACGATAGAATTGAGAGGTAAAAATTACCCCCTTTTGATCGTCCTATGCTCACAACTTTTTTTGTTACAATAAAATAAATGATGCATTATAACAACACTATGATGCTAAACATTTCTTGTAAGGGTTTCGTTTTGCTAAAATTGTCACTTTTATAGCATATTTGTTTTTGGATGTTTTGCGAAACCAAAAAAAAACTATGATATACAATGTGTGTGTAAAGAAAATACTTTATTTACTAGTTAAAAAATCATTTGGTATTGATCAAGTTATTTTTTCTGGATAAGATATTATATGGATAATTGGATAGAAAATACAATTATATAATCTTGTACCTGGTTTAATTAAGCTAATTGTCATCAGAAACTTGTAATTTTTATGAATTTCAGATTTTCTTTTCATTACTGCTTTTCTTAATAGGTCAAGTTCTTATTTACGTTATAAAGTATGATATTTACAAATATCAAGTTATCATGTTTTTTGAGAAATTATGAGAAACAAACAAAAATGAAAAAGATAGGAATAGCAATGAATAGTGATGTGGGTATAGAAAATGTAAGAGATATGAATGCAAAGCAATCAGTATTTAGGATATTGACCATAGATTTCGAAAAAAAAATGCTGCATATTGAGCGAAAACTATGATTATATTATAAGGCTGTCATTTAAAGCATAATGAAACTATTCCCTTTTCATTTTAATCGAATAAGATAGTAAAGATTTTTGAATTAGCTAGAAACTGATGAGATGTTTTCACAAATCAGATTTTTAATCTCTATAATGCATAATTCACTCAATATCTCAATTTTGATATTGCGAGATATTTTTGCTATCGGTTTCGCAATTTTGACACAATAGCAAGAGGGTTCTATAAGCATTATTATCAACGTAGAATCTGAATATCATATCAGAAAATGTCGCAAATCTGACATTTACCCGACCAAATAGCAAAAATAATTGAATACTTTTCGCAAAAACTTTAAAAATCGATAAAAATATGAAATATAGATATTAAAGAGACTTTTTATATAATATTCATAAAGATTTTCCAAAAATATGATACCGCAAAATTAAAAAAGTGACGTCTTGAGTGGAGTCAAAGGTCGAAATTGCTAGCTAAATGTTTTTTTTAGCGAAATTGCGTATTGTACGTTTTTTTCGCAAAACAAAACCCTTATTTCTTGCATAGAAACTAGACTAAAATTTCCAGGATTTAAAATCTTTTCATTTGTTTAGATTGAGGATAGATTTGAGCACATAGCAGATCCATTACTAAACTCATTATAATATATTGCTACGCTTTATACAAGTTCAATTAGCTAAATTTTACTTCTTCGAAATATATTGAAAAACCAATCTCCACAATACTGCTTAGATCAAACGTGAATGGTATAGACACAATTTACCCAAAAAGAAAATGATTACTTATAAATATTGAAAAATATTTCAGATAAATTTTGCTGTTTATGCACTTACTATGCAATAATTATAATGCACATATCATGGGACTACATCGTGATAATGAGAAAACACTTTGTTTAATAGATATTCTAAAAAAATTATATTAATCTTTTAATTAACATTTTTTTATTCAAAACAGCATCTATGTAAGAGTTAATAACAATTTTGGCATATACATTTCTTTCTAAATTATTGGTTTGAAATATCTTGAAATTTCAATGAATAAGTGCTCGGAAATGCATTAAATTAATAATGATGATTAGATGTTATTAAGCTGATTCATTTCTTGTCTTAAATAAGAGAAGATTTCCGTCTTTCACGCCATTTGCGCCAAGACCAAGAGACATTTCCTTTAAAACGACATGTTCTTGATCCTTTTCGTATGCTTCCTTAGATGCATAAACCCAAATCTCTGAAAAAGTATCACTTGGTTCACCAGTTGTATTTTCGATGAAATAAATCCACATTTTTCTTGGGAGGACTGTTGTAAGTGTTGGATGCGTGAGATATGCCTTTGGAAGATAGTCACTGCATAGAGTTAGAGTGATTTCTGTCATTTGAAAAAGTGACACTTCCCGAAAACTCATTTAATATGATATTGTCATGATTGCTAAAGTTTTAGGCTCCAGAAATGAATATACATCAAACTGAAACAATTGATAAATTGAATGAACTTTTGAGAGGTTCTCAAATAAAAAAAATTATCTAATTTTTTACAATATTACTATTATTTTATCCACATATGTATATATAGTAATTTGAGAAAACTTTTAGGAAAAAATAAGTTTAATAAAAATCTGAATTTTACTTGTTGTGGGATTGTTATTAATTGACACTCCAGACGTATTACTAATAGTTATGCGTATGCAATTAAAGTATTTCTGATGGACAAAATGTGAGATTTATATCAGATAATTCATTTCTACTATTAAGTTATTCATTTATGAGTTTGCACTTATTCGCACTAAATAAATAACTATTAAAAATTGTTTTAATTAATTGACACCATATAATAGAGTGAATTTTGTTTGATCAAACAACAATAGATGATAGATATAAAGCCAAGAAACTTGCTATTAATATGCTCTACTTGCTATTTCAATGTAAGTATGATATTTTCTAAATGTTTCGTTCAGATAACTTAGATATATTAGTCAAAATTTGAAATTTTAATAGCACATATATTAAAAATAATTATTATTCATAAAAGATTAATGAAATAGTAAAAAAAATCAATCAAATTATAAAAATACAACATTTAGAAGAATTCTTATTATCCTTCAAAAAGTCAGTATTTCTGCTGTAATTTTCTACAACATTGTAGTTATTGCACTTTGTCTATGGATTTGTATATATGTTATATATAAATTATATATCTAAACTGCCCATAAGTGCAATTTTTATATAAATTGTTTATTTCTTTAACAATTTCATATAAAATATGCTTTTTTAAGCGTATCAAAGCTGTGTTCTTAATGTGCATGGATATATCAAGAAAAATGAAAGGTAACTAAACTACTTTCGCCGATCCGATTTGCTCCATATTTAAAATATAGCTTGCATATGTAGAAGAAAAGCTAATTTTGAAGTACGCCCGAAATCCACCAACAGGATTTCGAGCTACTAAAAAGGTACTTTTAAATGTGATTTTTTTTATAAAAAATTAAATTTATTTTAAGATCAGACTAAAAACTAATTTTATGGAAAATCTATATCGACAAATTTATTACTTATTGGGTATATAGATTTTTTGATTATGGCGATTATGTCTGATATGCTTCCAATAAGCCAAAACACATTTCATACTGATTTCTATAAAAGGTATCTTTATTATAGAAGTGTAAGCTATATCTGTTTGTTTTTTTATTATAACAAATTCAAAATTCTCTTATAAGGACTAGATGAAATCTGTATTATTAAATCATTAGCTAAATGAAGGTTCAAATAGAAAGTAAATATCAATTTATATGATACTGAAACCAAATAGTTCTTTTAATAAAAGATAACACGCTGAAAATTATTGAGTATTTGCAAATCTCAAAAATCTATTGGTGAATTTGGCTCAACTTTTAAAATTATAACATCCATATCAAATCATAAAAGCAGACAAAAATTAAAGCCAAACCTATCGGCCAATTTTTTTTTTGATATTTTGATTTTTGAGGTATACTTTTAAAAGTGGATTTAAAGCACTTATGAAAAAACATTAACTTCTGTCGTTATGATTATTGATTTAGACAATAATGATTTTAATCTTTGATTATCAAAACACTAAAGTCATCTTTTTAACATTTGCTTGGTAGCATTAACTCAAGTCTAAAGTACTATTTTATGTGGCACTCTTAGAATTTTTGTATTCATTGTACACGCTGAAATAGTACCATTAAAGTTATGGCGGACTTTCAAAAAATAGTTTGGTCACCTTTGAAAAATGTCGAAAAAAAATGTGAATTCACAAATTCACTGAATTTTCACCGTTTTTTGAATTTTGCTACAGCACTAATATTAAATAATACTAAAATCTTCTGTCTTTGTAAAAGAATAAATTCTGACAAAAAGTGCTCGTTTAAATTTAATGATCATCTGTATGACTAAGTGGTAAAAAGTGTTTATGACCAAAAAAGGGTTACATGCTTAGTCTATTTTTCTGACAGGATACTCTAGATTTACATGATCTCTATTTCATATCTCCGTTTTTAGATTCTTCGACAGATTTTATGATAGAAAACCAAGATTAACAAATTTCCGGCATGTTAATGAAGAAATCTGCAGCTACCCTCAATATTATTTCAATAATCAGTATCGTTTCTCTTACAATTTATTTTTTTCTCAATAATTTAACAAGAAATAACAATACACACTTGGTTTTACGTATAAAAGCTAAGTGTCGAACTTAATCAACTTTACTTACTTAGCAAATGAATATTTTTGTGGTTGCGAGTTCTGAATGCTGAAGTTTTAGATTTCTCTATAAATGATATCATTGCACCTACAATGTTGTTCCAGCCTATCGCATAAATCATAGAAAATCCAAAAAAAAAATAATATAAAGAAAATTCATGTCATGAAGTTCAAAAAATACCGTGTAACATTAAAATTTGTTATGCATAATACATTTTAGCTATTATTGGGGAGAAGCTTCCTAAACTTTTTAATCCCATAAATATGGTCATTATCTGGAATAAAGAGTTAAGCGTCATATGTCACTTTTTGTACTAAGGAAACATCGACTTTATGCGTTATGACTTTTCGATGAGGAAACAAGTGTTCACGTATTATAAACTTCCTTATCCCAATAAACCGGCCCTAAACATAATTAATTTTAAGCATTATAATGGTCTCTTTTCTATGATAACCAAATCAATTTGGTTATCATAGAAAAGCACCAAAAACTAGAATAGGAATCGGCAATATGGAATTATGAAACAACTAGGATAAAATGGATATGGGACATTCATGAATGCATTCACTTTTTTCAAGACTTTTTAATGAATTTCAAATTCCTCAGATTATTTTCAATAGATTTTCCGTACCATATCATTTTTATTAGACAAAGCTATCTTTTCGATGAAATTTTTGCAAAAATACTCTGTTTTGAAAAAGATTTATGTAAATTTTTTGATAAAAGTGTCTTGAATGATTATCATTGATAATACCATTCCAATTGAATGCTGTTTTCGGCTGCTTTTATAAAAATTTGATCATATTGTACTCATAATTTTTTTTTGTATTTTGGTCAAAAACTAAGCTAACATCAGCTGTATATTTGCATAAGCCATTAATAAGCTTTGGTATAGGTTATACTGAGTTTAGACGATCATACAATTTAGACTTTTTTCATTTAATTTAGTCTAACAAAGAGTGATTATCTTACTATTTGATTCATAAATATATAGGAAATAATAGTTTTATACCTTAATATGATAAAATTTTATAAAATTTTCCCTTCTCCTTTGGCAATATTAGTCATTAATAGATATATTTAACATGATGGTTCTAAATATATGAATAGATAAAATTTTCCTTTCAATTTTACGAACCAAATTTATTACCATATCCTAAATTTTTTCTATGTTTATAGACCTTTGGAACTTTGTATGAAGTCTAAATATACATGTAGAGTATTCAAAACAAAAACAAATATCAAAATCTAAACCTTTGAATTACCTTCAATGCTTAACCGAATTACTAGATCTTATATATATATGTGTACTAATACCTTTTGATGCATAAAAAACTCCAAAAGAGTTTCATTTTTAAATAGTCGATATCAATTCAAAAAATTGAAACTATACCGTCAACTGTCAATTTTTCAATAGTTCGTTTTTTTAAATGTAATTGCTTTTTTTATATGCATTAATCATTTGATAGTAGTGGAATCAAATTACATATCTTAAAAATGTATTCCGAGTGGAAAAAAAATCAATAGAATTGACCACATATATCTGTTTAATCCAAAAATATTATTAGAATCATATTTAATAAAAATGCTATGCTTTTAGAAATAAACGGAAGAATAAACGCACTGTTTCAAACCGTCAAAATTGAATTTGTGTCAAATATCTTGAATTTACAATTTTAGCTATTTAGATAATTAGAGAAGCATTTGATCAATTTTTGTGTTAAACAACTATTTTTCGAATTTCTGAGATATGAAAATTAATTCACTAACTTCTTAAAAACATGAATTGAATGAAAACTCTTAGAAGAAATGTTCATATCACTTTCATTAATGGAGTACAAGGATGATTCCGAGTTCTTGGATGATATCCAGAAGTCCAAAACCCGATCCAAGGAAATCGTGAGAATGCAAATGCACTTAGCTTATCTTGATGAATCAGAGCCCGCAAGTGAAGATGAAAATCAAGCACCAGCTAATGCCGAAGAATTTAAAGTTGTCAGAAAGTTTAGCTTACAAAAATTCCTTGAGGCACACCCAATCTTAAATGTCAAAGACCTTTGTAACTTTTCTTTGGATCAACTCTTGTATTTAGTTGATGTTGTTCGCGAGCATGAGTTTTCATCCAGACGCGGTCGGAAAAACGGTTGTGATCCATTAGATGCGTTATTCCTAACATTAACTTACTATTGCACTTATCTTCCATTGCAAAAAATGTCAGGAATTGTTAGTTTGAAACAGAGTTACCTCAGCAAAATCATTAACAAAACAACAAACAGGATGTTCCCAATTTTCATTGCTGAATTCATTCCAAAACAATATTCTCCCTGTGACAAGGAGTTCGATAACTTTCCAACATGTGTTGCTGCAGTTGATAGCTCTACTATTCCTTTTACCGTTCCTCTTGATCTTGCTGAGCGTAAAAGTTCATGGGATGCTAAAAACCATTGCAATGGTATGAAGGTTCAAGTTCTTGTTAATCCTTTAGGACAGGTAATTCACATGAATACAAGTTTTTTAGCTTCAGTTCACGATAAGAAAGTATTTGATTTATCAGGAGCTTCAGATTTTTTACATGTCCAACGTGGAGTTGAATCTGTTGCATTAGGACTTCTTGCAGATAGAGGTTACATCGGTATTCAGAAATACCATCCAACA